TCTATACCTTCAGGTTGCTAGGCTTGCTTACACATACAACCTTTTAAAACATGAAGCAAGCACGTGTATTTCTTTCTTTGTGTACCAAATTCAAAGGTTTAATACAGTCAGATCACAGAATTGTTTAGGTTGGAAAAGATCACTGATCAAAGATCACTGAGTCCAATCATTAACCCAGCACTGACAAGCCCACCATTGATCTATAGCTTTTTCCTCCATCTCCCTAAAAATCTAGAGACTACTTAAGCAGAGCACAGAACAGCTTTGTTACAAATATTATTAAAAAAAAAAGACACAGAACTAGTAATCATCAGATTATGAGAGTGCTCACTGTGCTACCTAGACTTTAAATAAAGTAGCTCCTCTTTGGACTGGATTTGCATCATACAATGCAATTATTCTGTACAAAACCCCTAATGCACTGAAAGGCTCTTTTAATGTTATGGACCAAAAAAAAAAAAAACTTTCATTTTAAAGCTGATAGTATCTCACAGCAACACATGAATTCAAATTACATCTGAAAGCTCGAACAGCATTGTTCAGAAGGACCACTATTCTTCTTATCCTATACTGCAAAATTCTTAATATCATCCAACTCCTATCTCTCAATAAGTTTCATTTTATTATGAAAATTTTCATTTTCTTGAAATTTTCATTTCAAGAAAACAGGAAGGAGTTATGTATGACTTGTGAATTGATGCAGGCAGAGCATAAATGCTTTGTGATTGATGTAAAGGAGTAACTCCTTAGGAATTCCACAGGATGTATCAGCCCAGTACAGAAAAAGAAATCATAAGCAAATGATGCTTAAGAATAAGAAGATAAGCAATCTGAAACAGGTTTAATTTAATATTAAGCTCTTCTCTTAACAATTAAAAAATAAATATTTCAAAGGCAGACTGAACTCTTATTCTGTATCACATTCAAGATCTAACAATGTAAAAGAGCATCTCCCTACTCCCTTCTGCTCAGATATCCTGTTGATGTTTTAAAGATGACATTTAGCAAATCTCTGAATTTTAATTGAGCAGCTCAGTGCAGAACTAAAGGATCTTTTCACCTGTCCATCCAGATTCATATGCACCACTTCCCTTCACAAAAACAGAGCATACTGAAGAGGATTATCTCAAAAGCTAAATATTAAGAAGGGTTCTCTTTTGCTCAGGGAGCAGCTGAAAAGCACATAATCTTTCCTTCAATATCAAGGTGAAATCCTGGGAAGGAAAAATTTGATTTGCACTAAAATACTTGTGATTAGTTGAAACACCTGAGTTGCTCAAGCTAGTATATAATCCCAAAAATATTTTAGTTTCACTGTTATATTTAATACCTTCAAGAACAAAGACAGTTGTGTTTACTATTACAAACAAGGAGACAAAACAGAAAGTTAATGGTGCAGCACTTTGCACCTTTGTGCAACTGCCTCAATAGACAGGGAAGGAGAGCTCCCTGCCTTCCTTCAGGTGTCCTCCTCGACAGGTTTCCCAAAGCCATGACTCAAACAGTGAACAGACCATTTCTGTGTCTTTAATTTCACAGTCTTAACACATCCCTTCAGAGCCTCCTTGTTAAAAGTACAAGTGTCATGGTCAAGGACACACTTTCAGAATACATATCCATCCTTGGTTACGTCCTCAACCTGATTTTTGAAGCTGTCACTTTGCACCTTTCCCAACTCTATCAACTTGTCAATTTTGCAGTTATACCAATGAAATAAAGGTTCTGAGGAAAGATTCAAATGTAAAAATTCTCTGCCACAGCCCAGTGAATAAATGTCTCTGGAGGTTCCCCCACAACTATCATCATTTCATTTCCACACATTCCTTACAATCCACTCTGCTGAACAGCCACATCCCGATGTCCTTTGATCACATATACAAAAACAATTAAAATGAAGGATGAAACTCCGGAGGAATCAGAGAACGAACATAAACCTGGAAGTAATTTCTTAAGCATGACAAGAAAATACAAGTCTTTTTTGTAGTCTCGTTTGTTTCAGTGACTTTTACCACCTGGATGGAGTGCTATTACGGCAGCAAAGGAACCACTGGTGTCGCTATGAGTACATGAAGACATTTGCCACATGATTTACACCAAAGGCCAAGAGCTCCTTTTGACTTTGAGTTATTCTTGCTTCTATTACCATACTCTCTCAAAGCATACAAAAAACCCTCACATAACTTATCTAAAATGTTCTCACTCTCAGCATGCAGGTGCAGCCTAGTGACATGCTCAGATTTAATGCTGTACAAGAAGGAGACACATTAAGACAAGCACATTATTTCTGCAGACATCTTTCCTACTCCCAACATATACAATAGGGGTATATACTTAAACTAGCTTCAAGTTTCCTTAGCATAACAACTTACAAAAACAATTGCTCAGTTTCATCTTTATATTTAAAAACAGCCTTGGAAATGTGTTTAAAACATCCATTTGACCTATCTCAGCAACTCTAAGGTAAGAAGGCATTAACCTAGGAAAACACAGTGAAATTAATTGTCTGTCCTAAGTTGTCCAAGATGAAAAACTGCAATCTTAATAAACAGTACTCAGATCTGTCCAGTTATCTGAGTCTCTCACTGTGTGTTTTTCTCTATTTCCAAGTGTCCTTTAAACACTAAGCAGTGTGTGAGCACACAGGATCTAGTCTTCCACAGCAAGGCACAGCTCCTATCTATAACAGTCATCAGAGATATCAGAACCTCTGACTTAACACTTTCTCATTTTTAGAGCCTTACACGACAACAGTTACAACAGAACCCTAAATAACAAACACACAGCCATGGTTGACTGTCGCCCACACTGTTGAACAATGCAAGAAAGGATCATTTCCCTGACCCTAGAGAGGGATCCTCGCCTGCTCCTGAAGAGAACATGGCACTGCTCCTGCCCCAGGTCTTGGAAACCACAAGGAGGAAACAGTATGGGCTTTCAGATAAGCAAGACAGCATTACAGGCAGTGCCACTTGCCTAAAGGGCTCTGCCTACAACAAGTGACACTGCCGTGCCTTCCTAATTTAATTTTCTCTTTGACTAAGATAGAAAGATGATAAGCAGAAACTTGAAGCAAAGGAACCACCCTTCTGTTCTGGACAGCCTCACAATGTAAAGCTGTATTTTAAAAGCTGTTTGCCACCATCAAATTTTTAAATTTTTCTTTGAAAACATTTAACTTCAGAGGATCCTTCCAGCTGTACTTGCAACATTTACCAGGAAAATTTTACACTTACTTCCCTGAAGAAGGTTATTTCAAACCCTAAAACTAGGCAAATTGATCACTAAATAGCAAAGGTGCATTCAAAGACATTAACAGTTCTGGTGGAATGGGGTTTTGTTTCGGTTGGGTTTTTTGGGGCTTTTTGTGTTTAGGTTCCTTTTTTTTTTAAAGGAAAACATTATATACAAAGATATTGAACATTTTTAAAAATTACATCAAATTACTTACTGCAATTTTTCTAATCTGGAGCTTAATTTTAAAATAATACATTCTACAAGAAACTATACCTTTTTTATATTTAGAGATGTCTGAAGACATTGCTGACTTGGTTGCAGAACAAAAAAAAAATCACTTGTAATTTCCATGATCTGTGCTCATACTTGAACATGCCATTAACTTCAACTCAGTCAATGCCAGTGTCCACCTCTTTACCCTTCACCTTTCATCTTTTCTTCTTCATGCCCTAAACAGAACTTCTCTCTCATTAGAAAAAATAAAAATTCAAATACAGACAGTAATTGCAAACTGCTTTTTAATTCACTCTGACTGCACGTTTCACTCTTGTCCTCTCGCATATTCCATGTCTTGTTTAGGTTGTCTATTTTCAAGAACTGAAAAGTATGTTTCACTTTGTAAAGTAGCCAGTCTAAAAGGGCTGCAAAAAAAACCAGCCAGTGTCTCAAGGCTTCCTTAACAAAAACAATTACTTGTTCTATAGCTTAATTTCTTCCTGTTTCTCTAAAACTGTTAACCAGAGAATAGGCATTAAGAGCACACTTCATTCACAGGGTGACATCCACTAATTGGTCTAAAAGGGGATCCTCTATCAATAAAAGCCAGAAACCTTTACTCCCCTTATAGGTCAAGGGCACAAGACCTCAAATCGAGGGCACTGAAAGTTTAGGAAAAGCACACTTTTTCTCACCTTTCCCTTCCCCTTAAACTACTTTCTAATACCAAAAGAGCATTCAGTGATTTCAGGTCCAAAATTCTGGGTGTGCCAAGTACCACCATTCACAAACATTTTAAACAACTTTTCGCACTGAAGCTCAATTACAGCCCAAATGACAAATGCTCTGCATAGCACAACACACACAGTACGTTCTGACAGAATAAAAATGGAAGTATCATAAGTGGCGTTTCATTCAGCTCAGGTTAAGGATCTTATCTATCTTAGAGAGTGACAGCATAAAGAGGAACATACAGGTGGCTTTGAATTTTAATACGTCGCGAAATAGCGAAAGTTATTTCGCTGCTTTATAATAACCACTTTAAAAGCTCAACAGCGGCAATAAACAACCGCAGCTTCAGTGGGGGAAAAAAAAAAAAAAAACTACACTCGTCCACAACGATTTAAAGACAGAAACGCAAGAATAAGTACAGGAGAGGTTGCACAATAACACATGATCTTCCCTATCACATGCTTGGCAGCGCGCTCGCTCCCCGGCGGTCCCCGGTCAGACCCCGGGGCTGCTCGGCCGCCCGGGGCAGCCCCGGACGCCCCGGGAAAGGGGCTCCGGCCAGAGGGTCGGGGCTCCCCGGGGCTCGGGCGGGGGCTCCGCGGGGACCCGCGGGGCGGGAGCGGTGTTACCGCGGGGCCCGGGCGGCGGCGGAGCCTCTCCCCCATTCAATCCCTGCCTCCCTCCGGCTCTGCCCGGGCGGCGGCGGCCGGGGCAAAACACCGAACGGGGAGGGGAGGCGGCCGCCGGCCCCGGGGCTGCATCCCCCGGGCGCGACCCCGCGCCCCCGGCTCCGCCTCGGCGGCGGCGCCCACACTTACGCTCGAAGTCGGAGTCCGAGTCCTCGTCGCCGCGCTCGGGCTCCTCGTCGCCGTTGGACTCGGTCTGCATGGGCTCCCCGTCGAAGCTGACCACCCTGCGGCCGCCGCCCGCCTCCTGGTCGCGGGCATCCCGCAGGCGGGCGAAGTAGTCGGCGGCGAAGCCCAGCAGGTCGGACGGCCGGTGCCGCAGCACCTCCACCGTGTAGCCCTGCAGCAGCTCGGTGAGGCCCGGCGGGATCTCGATGCTCATGGTGCCGGGCGCCCGGGAGGCCGCCTGGCCTCCCTCCCCTGCCCCGTCCGCGGGCGGCGGTGTGAGTGCGGGCTCGGGGCCTCCGCGGCGGGCGCGGACCGACTCCCGCCGCTCCGGTCACACGAGCGCGGGGCGCGGACGGGAGGGGCGGGGCGGGAGCGGCCCCGCCGCGCAGGCGCGGAGCGGGCGCGGGAGCGGGCGCGGGGCAGCGGCCGCGCGTGCGCGAGGGGTGGGGGGGGCGCGTGCGTCACCGCGGGAGCGGCCCCGGGACCGGGAATGGGACGGGAACCGGGACAGGGGAACGGGCACGGGGCGTGGGGCACGGGGCGTGGGGCCCGGGGACGGCGCTGGCTGGCAGCGTGCGCAGACGGTTCAGCTCTTTGGAAAACGGTTCTGCCCGCGCCGTTAACACCCCTCCCCCGGTCACGGGATTCGGGCTGGGTTTGTGCCGTGTCGGGAAGCGTTTGGACCAAAGCTGGCGGCGGGATAAGGGAAGCCGGGGAGGTCGGCTCGGTGACCAGGCAGGGAGGCCCTGGCCGTCGCTACCTCCTCGTTATTTTTCTCTTATTTCCCGTCTGTGACCTCGTTCTCTCATTTCTTGTCAGAATCACAGAATCAGTTAGGTTGGGAAAGACCTCTGAGATCATCGAGTCCAACCTCAAACACCACCATGTCAACTAGACCATGGCACTGAGTGCCACGTCCAGTCTTTTCTTAAGCACCTACAGGGACGGTGACTCCACCACCTCCCCGGACAGCCCATTCCAATGTCTAATCACCCTTTCTGTGATGAATTTCTTCCTAATGTCCAACCTAAACATCCCCTGGCACAGCCTTAGGCCATGTCCTCTCATCTCGTTGCCAGTCGCCTGGAAGAAGAGGCCAATCCCCACCTGGCTACAGCCGCCTTTCAGGGAGCTGTACAGACTGATAAAGTCTCCCCTGAGCCTCCTTTTCTCCAGGCTAAACAACCCCAGCTCCTCAGCTGCTCCTCATAGGACTTGTGCTCCAGACCCTTCCTCAGCTCCCTTGCCCTTCTCTGGACTCACTTCAGCACCTCAATGTTCTTCTTGAAGTGAGGGGCCCGGAAGTGGACACAGGACTCGAGGTGTGACCTCACCAGTGCCAAGGACAGAGGTTTTCTTTCCTCAAGGTGCCTGTCAGGGTGTTTAAAAGGTCCCCCAGGAGCAGGAGAAGTTGTTTTTCTTTGACCTTGGTCAGACCCAATCTAAATTTCAATCTAATTCTTGGTAGCAGTTTGATTTAGGACCTCCCACCCCTCTAGTTTCTTGTCAGAATTAAGGCATTAAAGAACAATTCTTAAAAGAAGTGAGCACAAGAGAAGGAGCATGCAGCTCTTCACACCTGAATAGAGCCATAATGACATGGTGGCAATAGCTCTGATCTGCTTAATAATAAACCATTAAAGATGAAGAATTTCAGAGAAATTGAAACACAGAATCATAGAACGGTTTGGGTTAGAAGGAACCCTAAAGATCATTTGGTTCCGTGGGCAGGGACACATTCCACTAGACCAGATTGCTCCAAGCATTGTCCAGCCTGGCCTTGAACGCTTCCAGGGATGGGGCATCCAAAGCTTCTTCGGACAACCTGTGCCAGCACCTCCCCACCCTCTCACAATTGCTTATATGTGTGAGCTTTGGAGGTACCCGTTTGTATATTGTTGGATGTGCTTTATTCAGATTTTTACTTGTCTTCATTGCCCAAAACCTGTTATCTGTGTGTTTGGCAGATGCCCAGGGGAAGGCAACGGGCTGTGTGGCATGGAGCCATCAGCCTTTAAGGTTTGACGTTGCTGGAAACCTCGTCTTGGGAGAAAACAGTCCTGTACAAACATGAGTCAAGGGGAATACGGATGTTGGCTTAGTGACACCGCTGCACGTTGTCAGTGTAAATATTTTTATTTAATTCTTCTTCTGTTTCAACAATAAAAGAGCAGAAATCAACTTGTGCTCAAAATACAAAATTTCGCTTAGAAGCCCAGAATTGGCTGAGGCAGTGTACTGTGTTTTGGTTTTGTTTGCTCATGTGCCAGGGTCCCCTTGCTTATCCAGATGGTTCTCACCACACTCCCATACAAAGATATCCTGTTCATGGCTGCTGCATGGAGGGCACAGCAGTGGATCCCAGAACACCCATCCAGTGCTTTTACTTTATTCTCAGCAAGGGGTGCCAGTTGGAAATCTCATGGCACTTAAAAGGTGCTCGCTGTAATACAGGTCCCATATTTTTATGTGGAGTAAAATTACATCTTGTATCCATACAAAATTAACAAATTTTTAAAATGCACAGGAGATAGATTTATCTCACCAGTTTATCCAATATTTTGTATAAAGCCATTTCTCTTAATTTTTATTCTTTTCTACAGCAGGAATAACAGTTGCTGTATCCTCTTTTTCAAAAGATAATTGACACTGATTTTTTATTTGCCACTCCTACAGTGTTATCTGTCTGGTGGTCTCAAACAATATAAGAGCGCATTTCACTGTTCAATATACCTTCTTTAAATACTGACAGAACTGATACAGGGAAAAGGATCTGATCAACCATAAAACTGTATCTGGTTAGTCCCCCACAAAATAAAGATTTCTGATGAGATCTTTCCTTTGCCAGTTGGGTGCTGAAGACATTGCTGGTGGTGAGGAGGTAAAAATGAAAGGTAGAAAGTGCTGTAGAAATGGAAAAACAAAATGCCAATAAAAAGCACTGGCAAGTAGCGTCAGAGGAAGAAAGGGAAAGTCTGATTCCAAGGGAATACACTGATTTTTCTTTCTCACTCTCTTTCACAACAGCCAGCCACCTGACAAAAAATTGCCTGCTTTTGGCACCAGTCAGCTCTTATATTAGCTTTTAGCATTTGTTGGCAATTTTCTCTCATTTGTGCCTGTGGATATAAATCTGGTTATTTATTTGAGAAAATGTGTTGCCAGTAAATAGTGTTAAGTCTCTGAAGAGCTGCATTGTATTGGCCTTCTGATATTTATATGTCCACACAGAGCTAATCAGCTTCAGAGGAAAGTAAAGAGCAGAGCAGTGTTTAGCCTTCTCTGAAGGTCAACGGACAAAATCAGAAGCATCCAAGGTCACGTGAAGCACATTTTCAAGTTGATTTACGCCACAGTTTACCCTGTTTCTTTATACACTTTTTTTGTGAGCATCAGAATTGATGGCACAAATATGTGAGAAACTTGTCGGCGATCAAGTTAATTGTAATACTGCCTGCTGCGCATACATAGAGCTCATCATACGCCTTCTTTCACCCTGAATTTGCATAACTTTTTTAATTATTACTATAATAAGCATTCGCATTAAAAGAATGGTAGAAAATAAATTAGGAAATGCACTTGCAGCCTTAATTTGATCCCCTTTATAATAACGTTTTTAATTCAGGCAGCATTACCAATGCAATTTCTTTCCACTGTCTTCATGGCACGTTCAGCACCCACTGTGGAGTTAGATAAGACTTGTGTGGCTGATGAAGTTGGTCCCCATAGCATTCCTATCAAAATATATATATTTCAGTATCACATTTTCTCCTAATAATTTCTTAATGTTTGAAAAATATTCCCATATTTATCACGTGCCTGTGCTCCCAAATATTGAGGTCTCTTCCCTTCACTCTGCCTGCCCTACCCAGTGCTGTGTGACTTTGATGCACCCTTAATGAAACTGTGATGGAGCTTCAGTGCTTGTCCTGCTGGCAGGACCAGCCGAGTTGCAAGCAGAAAAAGCAAAATAGTCTGTGTAGTCTTGCACAGGGATAAAATAATCAGATTAAACCTCCAGACTGGCTCCTTAAAAAGTAAAATAAATCCTTTTATAACAAGTAATAATTCACTTCTCATAAACTTGTCAGCACCAGCTAGAGCTCAGACTCTATATAAACATACGTACATCTTGGATTAATTACACTTGCCTTCAAATTCCGTACAAGGATAATGCAAGAAAACACTGAATATTCTGATGGTTGGTATTAGTGAACACAATCTCTTGTTTAAGGGGAATTGGATTAATTACCTGGAGTAGAGCTGTTGTGTGTTGTTGTAGGAGACACGCAAGCCCCCTCAAGCTGGGCATGTCCCACACCATTACACCACTACAGGTAGGTTCAGAGCCTTCTGCAAACAAGGTGAAATCCTGCTCTTGCCCTTCTGCTTCAGCCTTCTCAAAATAAAGGCCTTACAGTCCTACCAGTCTCTCCTCCAAAAGCAGCTGCTTCATCCCCAGAGTCACATTAAATCCTCCTTTCTGTACCTGCTCAACTTTGCTGTGTCTTTCATGAGCACTGTGTGCAGGTCTGGTCTCCACATCCCAAAATGTGGGCTCATGCTGGTTTTACACAGCTGAAAAATGATGCTGACTATTTTGACTATTTCTCTGACACTTTTCCTTGGGTTTTTTTTTGGCTGCCACATCATTGTGAACTGAAGGTATCCAATCTTCATTTTAAGACATAAAGAGATGAAAAAATTCCCACTTCCCTTTTTCTGTTTCTCCAGTGACTGACCACCCTCATTGTAAGAAACATGCATAGTTTCACATTTTAAGTGTTCTATGTTTGACATTCAAACTTTGTTCTTCTACCCAGTGCTTTCTCCTGTGGCTGTAAATGTCCATAAACATCATGTAACTTTGTGCATAATGTACACAAACCTTCTGGATTTTTCATTTTACCAAAAGAAATAGTAAAAAAACCCAAAGTGATCCCAGGCTTAGCTACCAGGATACAGAGATCCTTCAACACAGCGTGCAAGATGAAACTGCTTCTCCTGTCTCTCTTTGGTTTTCTTCCTAGGCAAGTGCTAAACCTCAGAAACCAAACTTTGGTTCTCTAACCAGTCAGTTTGCTTATGACAGTAAGCAAGAATTAGTATGCATTTTTGTTAGCCTATAGAGTTAGTAGTTTGAGTACTGTATATTTCAATAAATCATATAGGACTGTCTAGCAATAGTACAAAGACCAGAGAAAAAAAATAAGCTTTTTGAAGCTGACATACGTTACCTTGACATTGCCTTTAGTCCATCAAAAATATTTTGGATAATTCTTGGAAAGATACTTTGCTGCATTTGTTGATAAATTTCAAAGTATTGAGTTGGGAGAAACACCTGTATAAATGTCCACATTTTCATTGCCATAATTTAGTTTATGAACACAGAAAACACTGATTCTGTTGGTAGCAATTACAATTTTTCAGGCAGTAGAAAACATCAACTTTAAAATGCCAGATTTTGTAAAACATTTGTCCTGGCTGTTACCTAGATGTAAAAAGAAATATCTCTGTTGTGTCATACTTATGACATAAAATGGCACATGTTTGAATCTAGATAGAAGTAGTACCTGTGACATAAGATGTGTGGGATGACCAGGTTTAAACTACCCTGAGCAACACTAAGTAGCAGATGTAGAGTTTATGGTTCCCACATCAGAGAAGCCCTAAGCAACAGCACTTTGGTGTGTAAACAGGGGATATTCAAATAAGGACTGAGCTAAGCAGTTGGTTCGTTTTGGTTGTAGTTTAGTTTCTGCCCCCAGCACTGAAAACTTACATGAAGAACTTCTCCACTGAGGTTGGTGTGAATTCTGGGCAGAGGGAGCTGGTGGAAACAGACCTTTGTGCACATCCTGCAGTAGCCAGTCACTCACTGGATAGCCCTGATCCTGCTGGATGGCTCTGTCAGTGGTAGAGTTCATGGACATTGCTACTAAATAATGGTAAAAGGTTTTTAGATTGTTTTGTTTTAAGAGAAGAAATAAAATTAACCTCCCTGTGAGTTGTTCAAAGACTAATCTAAATCCAAAATATCAATTACTGTCTGTGTTTTCCAGCAGCACCTGTTCAAACACAAGTTTGTTGAAGTTAAGGGGTTTGTCACACCAAGAGCTCTGACATTTATTTCTTCCTTGAGCCTTTGCTCATAAATCTGGAACTGTCTTTTGCTGTATGTAGATCCTTGTCTCCTCCCCACCTTCTCACATTTCCACCTGACACAGTTCAGGTCATGAGCATTTCTCTACTGGATCCCAACCTGCCACTCCCCAGACACGTATTGCTCTGTCACTGTTGCTACAGTTCGTGTTTTCACATCTTCTGTTGTCACCTTTGTCCGTTGCTTGTTATTAAATATTTCTCACACTTGGCATTTGCCCATTTGTCATACATCTTCACCAGCTGCTTGTTAAATAACTGTTGCCCTTCCCAAAACTTTGCCTCTGAGGTTTTACCCCAAATTCATAACCTATCTCTCACCCCATCTTGCTTAACTCCCCCGGTGGGGCACCTTCAGCCTCCTTCCAGACTGAGCCTCAATCTCTCCCTCCTCTTGCAGTGCCTGATCCCTCGCTGAAACAAGAGTAACAGCGTCTTTGCTCTTTGACCCTCTTTTATTGGCACCACAAGAAGCCATTAACACATCTTCCTGTCTGTTCCCAGTGTTTGTGCCCTGCTCTTTAATACCTACAGATCCACCCCATGCACAGAAATGCTGTACACAAACAAGGGACAGTACTACAGTGGGTGGTACATGAGGGGCTCATTCTACCAGCTCAGCATGTTGTGTTAACTAATTACAAGTGTTAAAATTGCAGTATTAAATGTAAATTGCAACAGTAATAAATGAGCTTTATCCACCAAATCCCCAAATTTTTATATTTCTCTCTGAAAGCCCTTTTATGAGACCTATTACAGCTGTTAGCACTTGTTTTAATTAAACTCATAACGCAGCATGAAGCTCAGTTAACCAGTTTTTAGTTTTCAGAGAAAGTCAGTAAGAAGTTGGTATTGCATTTTTCTGTCATGCTTCACATCCTGTGCTTTGGGTACATTATAAAAATGTTGACAGAGGATTCTGTATCTCAGGGGAGGATAAGGGAGACATGAAACTTCTTACTTCTAGGCTGTTTTTTCCAATTCAGTTTAGATTCTTAAATTTTATAAAAGTATTTGCTGTTTGACTGCATCCTGGCTGTCTTCATTCAAGGAAATGGGTGGTCTCAGCATCTAAGACAGAGGATTATAAGGCCATCTCACCATGTTCAGATCCCTCTTTGTCAGTCTCAGCAAAAAACTGATTGGTTTGTAGAGCTGAAAAATGCTTGCTGCCTTCAACTAGGACTTAAATCACATCTGCATCGGACACTGATTGGATGGGTGTTCCGTGTACATGCTGCTCCTGAGGGGTTTTTTTGTGACTTTAATTCCCAAAGCTATCAGCCCAGAAGAGTTGCATTAGAAAAAGGAAAAGAAGAATGTGGTTTTAGAGAATGCAACGGCACTGCCTTTTGTTGCAGCTGCTTCGAAGTGTCTCTCCATTGACACCTAGTGTCCGTACGGGAAGATCTTCATAGCCGTGCTGGCAATATTTATCTCTAAATCTTTAAAGATCTTTTAACTTGTGTAGTTATTAAGAGCTCTTACTGATCAAACCGAGTCTCAGGAGGTGAGACTGATGGTGCAAATACAGCAATCTCCCTGCTCCTGACAGTGATATCAGTGACATCCATACATGACTATGTTCTGAATGGCTCTAGGAACCCATTCATTGCTTTGCAGTGCAAAAATATTATCCTTTTACAAGGTGTCCTGTGAATATATGTAAAATACCTTCAATCTCTATATCTTTCCTCACAGCATCATTGTGAACTAATGAATATTTAATACTAATTTTAGGAAGTATAGTACTTTGTTGTCAGGCATTGTTCTAACTATCTTCAATTAAAGATGATTCTTTTTCATTGATAGAAATCTCTTCATTGCACTCCATTTTATCACTAAAAGCTATTTAATAAAGAATTGTCTTTATTTTTACAATAAGAGTTATATTCATACTTATTTATTTATACTGTAGAAATCCCAAGTGTTTGCAAAAGGATTCGTTGTTCTGCAAATCTTGAACTGTGAGCAATTAATCATGTTGTTACTGTACACTTTGCTCCATGAGCAACTCTGCCTCTGTGGTACTTCCTCCTGCTCCTTCAGTCAGCCTGAAGTGTTTATGTTGGGGTGTGCATGCAGGGGCTGTGCCAGAATCACAGCCACACCGATGTGGAAAAGTCTTTCCCTTCCCTGAAAATTCTCTGTACATTCACACTTTGATAACTTCCATTGTCATCTGTTTACAAAGGAGGTAAATCCAAATAAATTCTGTTATGAAAGCTTAACAAGATACATTGTCATATTTGCATTGCAACTCCAGGAAAAGATGACTGGATCAAGGATGCACAGCAGGCACAGCTGCTGTCCATCACTGATTCTGTGTCGTCAAGGGGCTTGTGGACTCCATCATTTCTTGACAGTGTTTTGTGATTCATTCCTTTCCAGCGTTTCCTCAATACCTCATAAGCTCTAAAAGAGCTCTCTCTTGAATTGGTGAAATAGGTGGCATAGAAGGATCTTGTCCTTGCTGGCATGTGGAAGCTACTAACGTGCAAATAATAGATCTTTGCCTTGAAACAGCAGGAAACCTGCTGAAAAAGAGCTAAAACAGCCTTGAACTTCTTCTGTGAAGGTCAGAGGAGAGTGAATCAATATTTCCCACCATTTCTGGAAAAGGAGCTGTCATCAGTTTCTACGGACAGTCACATATTTTCCCTCTTTCTCCTTTCAGTGTTCTGTTATTTAAAAATACTCAACAGTCAGAGTCTGTGTTGAAAGAACTTGCTGAATCAATACATCCAGAATAGGAGTGACAGCATCACTAAGATGTGTCCTGCTTAGATTATTCATAGTGTAACTATAAAGCAAAACATGTGATAATGAGTAATAAAGGAATGTGACATAAATAATTTCATTCAGAGCAGTGCATTAGTGGGGGCACTGGTAAAGCTGCAGCAGCAGCAGCAGCCAGAGCCCTTAATTGCAACTGCTTATAATTAGAGTTACAAATAGGTGTTTGTGTCTGTCTTTGCCGTGATCCTTCAGTCACCCCAACTTCTCATCCTCGGTAGGACCCAGTGCTTCCATCAACCCCAAATTTTCCCTCCATGGCGTCAATGGAAGGAGGCAGCAGCCGAGAGCATCGCGTTGCTATGGCAACACAACCCACTTCCCCTGGGACCGCGTTGCCTCGGCGACATCAGGCGGGCAACGCCGGCGGGTTAAATCGACTCAGAGCAGCTGCCCCCTGAAAAACAGGACAGCCCTGGCCTCGGGGAGCATGGGAGCCCAGAGGTTCATCTCACCAGAGCCTGGTGAGTGTAGGACCCTGCACTGACAACGGGGGCTGGGTCAGGAGAAGGTGACTGGTGTGTGTGGTTCTTTGCAAGTGGTGAGATCAGACTACAGCCCAAAGGAGCTTCCCATCACCGTTTAGTGTGTTGAAATAAGATGGCAAGAAAGATAATGTCAGTAGGAGGGGATTAGCTGAAGGGAGCGAGTGCTGAGGCCCCTGTCCTTGGTTTGTATAATCAGGACCTGCAAACATCCCACAACATCAGAAGTTGTTTTCTCGTGTTACACAGTGCATCTATGAGTGGAGGTAAGCTTGTACGTGGATTTTAGGGTTGTCCAGTGTCACATTCAGTACCCAGCATCATGTAGGCAGCAGATTAAAAATCAATTTACATAGGCAAATGCCTGTGTTAATGCTGTGAGCACAGAGCCTCCCACTTGTGTGTCTGCAGGCAGGCCAGCAACCAGCCCCAACCCACAGGAAAGCACTGACACATTCCCAAGAGCCCACAGACCCTCTATCACAATGGTGTTCCCAGATATCTGTACCAAACACCTTCTGGGGACTTCACTGGAGCCATCTGTGTAACTGCCGGTGAGGTGAGGGGGTTCGAAGTTTGATGAATGGATGTCAGTTATCCACAGCACTTGAAGAGCTATTTGAAAAGCAGGAAGATGGTAAAGGACAGAAGAATTTGCACAAGATAGGTAAATTCCTTGTGAATTGTCTGTTCTTGTATTAAGAAACCTCTTGCCTACTGTAATTAGCCCTTGAAGAGACAGCATCTCTGGAACACAAGCCTCTGTATCCTGATTTTTTGTGTTAGCAGTGCTTTGCTTTTTGTTTAAGACTTACACTAATTCTTGCAGAAGAACAGAGCCTGCTCTAGGGGGTCTAGCATTACTTTTTGCCTCTGAAAATATTACCATCTGCTGCAGTGCTGTGTCTCAATGATGTTAACATATCTGACTTTAAGTAGACATTCCCTGCACTTTCAGCTACAGCCCTGCTCTTGCTCTATCCTTGTATTTCTGACATTGGCCTTACTCTCTCTCAGCCATTCTGTGTGTATTTTCCACACAACATTAGCTGTCTTTCTTCTTACAATTAGAGCTGTGGTTAATCATGTTTACAAAGGATTTCTGAGCTGTGGGAAATGTTTCTCAGAATGTGTGGTTTTGCATCATTTAGCCTTGAAAGGATGCTGCCTCCCCTGACCTCTTGCTGTTTTTTCTCTCAATGACTCTGGTAATTGCATCAATAGCCTTGGGAGTCACATTTTCCTTTCACATCTAGGAAAGATCCAACCTTTTCATACCCTTTCCCAGCTGAAACACATATCTGATCCCTCCTATTCTCTGTGGTTCAACCACATTAGCTTTTTTTCTGCCTTCTGTGCATGCAGTCTTGTTTTATTCTTGTCTGGAATAAACTCTGCTGCTTTTCTGGATCATCATTTCCACCACTCTACTTTTCTATGATCTTCTCAGTCTTCCTTCTCCTCCCTGTATCAAACACATTTCTTATCTTCTCCATCAACATCCTTTACAACCCGTCTTGGTCAAGTCCATCAGCAGTCATTCTGACAGCAAAGTCCCCAAAATTCTGACAGCATTTTGACACCATATCAAAGAGACATGTCAATGGTTTTTCCACATCTCCCCACCACAGCTGGGCAAGAAACTCTCCAGAAACATCTGCAAAGGGAGTTTGGGGCACAGAGACCAGCACAGTACCACATGGTCCCTCCAGTTGAGGGGATTCATCTGCCATGTTTCACCTTATGTTTAAAAGCAAACTGCCTTGAGGAAGACCTTTTTTTGCTTCAGAACACTGAGAAAATGAAAAATGACAGCCAGGAATGCATCCCAAACCCACACATTTCAGATTCTGATGTCACCTCAGAGCCACTCGGTCCCCACACTGATGCTCCACATTAACTGCACTTGTGGGGGGGGATTCCCTTTCAAACTCATGTCAGCGATGTCAGTTCCTTCAGGTTAATGTGCAGTCAGCAAGAAACTGGAAGCAACACGCAAAAAAACCCCTGTTTCCTTTCTCTCTTCACACCTCTTTAAAGAGGAGTGGTTTTTCTGAGTCACAGCTAACGCAAACCTGTTGGAAAAGATTCAGCCTAGAATTATACCACGGCTTAGAGGAACATGAAACACCATTTAGTGTTCAAAGTACTATTTTGAATTATTAATCAAGCCCTCTGTCTGGTTTAGCTCAGTCAGGTCCTTCTTCAGATTTTGTAGAGTTTATTTCTCTTGTCATCCTGAACAATCTTTGACGTGCGGAACACAGGCTTGTTGTTGAAACGAGAAGACTGCCGGCAAAGTTTGGCTCTGCCTGTGCCTTTGCAGAGAGATCTCAGTGCAGGGGATATGCAGTGCAGTTGTTCTTTTGTTCATATTTAATCATACGAGAAAGAAGAATGTAATTAAGGCCTGTCTCCCTCAACCTCCTCCTTTCCTCGGAGTATTTGAACTCTCTGAGATGAAGGGAATGTAGCTGTTTCTGGCAGTGAAGTGCATCCCAGAGTGGATCAGGAGTGAATCTGCCCCCATCACTCCACAGCTGGCAGTGTTTTCCTGCCAAGCCATTTCCCACGCAAAGGAACATGGCCATTACAAACAGCATTGCAAGTACCAAAATCAGATCAGAGCTGGAAGCACAGTGTTTGCTCTTGGTTTTCTTTGCATGTTTGACAGCCCAGTCAGACTGTGATTGCTTCACTAACCCCCTCAAAAGCTGGATGATTTCTCTTTATCTGAAAACACCCTTAGGCGGTTGCTAGATTTGAGGATGCAACATTAAATGGAGCTTGGCTCAGAAATAGACTTTTTTCCTTCTATTTAGCTATTTTAGCCATTTATTGTCTGTTTAGCTTTGTATCTCAAGTAAACTCACTTCATTTACACTCTAAACCAGGGTTTACTCTAAGCACAGGGTTACGAAAGATTTGCTGTCAAAGAATCCTGAAAATTGCAAATGTGTGATTGGAAAGGGTGTTTCAGGCTTGCAATTTTGGTTGGCCTTGGGCTGAAATGAAACTGTAACAGCAAAGACAGTAAAGGACTGGAAGGGGCGGAGAAAAATGAGTCGACCCACCCGACCCCAGGATGGGGACTGTGTGGGGAGGAGGTTCAGGATACTGACAGTGAGGGATGGTGTTTGACCAGACCAGGGAGAAACATCCTGGGCCTGAGCAGTGCCAGAGAGCTGCAGAAAAAACAGTCAATGAGAAGACAGTTGATTGATGAAATTGCCTGAAATGAGGAAGGAGGGAGGAGGCTGTAATATGTAAACACTTTAATTGCAAAGTTGTTTAATCTGAGAGGTCCTAGGAGCTGACAGAATAAGTGTTGTTGCTCCTTCCCAGGCTATGTAACAGGCACAGAGACTGACAGGGAAAGTTTCCACTTAGTGGCAGGGATATTAAATTATAAAAATGATAAAAGTTTATCACAGAAGCAATAAGCTGCTATTCTCTCAAGACCTTGCTGCCAAACTTTAGAAAAAATATTTTGGAAATCAAAGCAGAGCTCAAAAGGAAGAAATCTGCTACAGAAAAAATGCTGATTTAAATCACCTTTCAATTTGCAAAATTGTTTTTACCTACAGAGAGGCTTTAAACAAGGGGAAAATGTATTCCAGTTGCTTGGGATCAAAATCTAAGTCTCACAGACACACAAAGAATAGTCCAGAGGGAGAAGCCAATAATTAGCTGCTGAAAAAAAATGCATGGCAAATGAGGGATTCAATGGGGTTGGAAAGTGAAAAAAGGACAAAAGAATAGAAAATGTTCTTGCAGTAGCAAAAGTGCAGCTAAAACAGAGGATTTGATGATGTGAGGAATAAGCAATATGGGAGGATTTCTTGGGAGTTAGCAAGTCTGAACGTTGCACAGTGACAGTGCTGGTGCTCAGAAGGAACGTTGCAGGAAGGGTAGTTTAACTGGGAAGAGCTATTCCCATGGTGGAAAAATATGGGCATTATGAGTTCAGGAAAGCGGAAGTTAAATAAAATTTAAGGATACAAAAATATGGAAATAGGAGCCAGTGCTGGGTGCCCACAGTGGGAATTTGTCCAGCTGCAGCAAGGGCCAGCGAATCCCCCAGGGAAGCAGAGCCAGGGGTTGCCAGGGATGGCAGCCAAGCGTGAGCCAAGAGCCTGGCCATGGTTGGGGGCTGGCTGGGGGGCAGTGGGGCCACAGCCTGGCACAGGAGGGATGCAGAGGGAGCTGGTCCAGGCTCTGATGCTCAGCATCCTGCCAATCTCATGATCCTCCTTGTCTGCTGCAGACGTCCTTTGCCACCCACTCCAGGGATGGGGCAGCCCCCTGCCTTGCAGGGATTATCTCCATCCGAAGCAGCACATCTGAAGCTTTATAAAAACCCAAAATAATTATTAGTTACCTTTAAACTGAGATATTTGACAATCAAAGAAATAAAGAATGAAGGCAAAAACGACAAACCTGAAAATCTGTTATCATAATTCAGGAAAGTATTTGATCAAGTGCCGGACTTGACAGGTCTGCTCCAGCTGCAGTTTTCTGCAACTCAAGCAGAGGAAAGCCATGCACTCCACCAGTGGCTTTCAGACTGAAGCTGAATATAGGAAGGAGAAGTGATGGTGTCTCATATTAAAGGACACAGTTGCTTTCCCAGTTATCCCTATCACAGGATTCAGCTTCTGCCCACAGTCAAAAGCAAATAGTTTAAAATACACTTTGAAATAGGCCAGTATGCTGGGAAAGGTCAAATTTTTGCTGGAATTTTGAGCAGTACATATTTTTACAGGAAAAACCCAATAAAGAAGGTAAAGTAGAGGAGGCAGCAAGCACTCACTGTATCAGCAATCCAGGCTCCCAGGCTGCTGAGGCAACCAGCCCTCAGGGAAATGAGGTTATACTTTACCTCTGACATATATAGAATAACAGATTTCTCATTCATCTCTAGATTCATATTGAAACTGATTAGGCAAGAGCTACTGGAACAGGAGGAAAATCATGACCAAACCCTAGAAGCAGTATTTGTTAGCCAGATGAAGTCTCAGGGAACACTCTTTTGGATATGAATACTCCAGTCACTGGAAGGAGTTAAGAGACATTGAGGTTGACTCTTCCATGCTTCCAGTAAATGGAAACCTATTTATTTATTTATTTATTTATGAAAATAAGTTGCTTTTAAACATCATTTAGGACAAAGAAGGTCCTAGAAAAGAGTCACCAAGAATAAGTAAAACGTTAAATAGTAAATAAATTCTTAAGATTAGATTTTTTTTTAAGCCTATTTAGAATTAATTTAAGTTTAATTTCATGGCATATGACAGGAAAATCTGATATCTTATGAAAATCAAGTGGTAAAGATCATTATTTTTAATATACGAGAATTTGGGAGAACCAGTTTTTTCAGTAAGGTGGTTACATATTGTAGCAAAATGTGTACTAGTGCTGTTTGCTTACTTGAAAAAGCTTTTATACTTAAGATACTTTGAAGTAAACAAAAAAGACGTAACAATTTGTCAACTGTTACATTAATTAATTGTATAAAGAATAAAAAAAAGGAAATCCCAGAGAAAAATAAGAAAAAGTCAAATGTAGAACCTTACAAGAGCACAAGTATTTAAAATTTTGAGAGGCACTTGGGTTGGCATCCTGTGTTCAACAAGCTTCCATGTGAAAGTTAGTCTTTTTTCCCCAAAATATGTCACCCCCTTGTTCCCTCGTAGCCCTTTATGGTGTCTTAGAAAGTGCCATGTTCTGCCTGAGCTGGATGTTGCCCTTGAATCCCAAGGGGGTCACATCTCTGCCCACACGAGCTGTAATTTATGACCGGGGTTTAAACACGATGAGCCCAGGCTGGTTGTGATGAGCCAGGGCAGGTGCCAGGTCACTCCCATGGAGAAAGGACCTTCAGCCACATCACCAGGAGAGGTTTCTGTTATTTGACACAGAAAAGGCTCAGAAGGGCTGGGGCAGATCTTGTGGACAAAATCCCCTGCATGGAACCTTCCTCCTCTAAATGATGCAGACAAAGCTGAGGCAAAGCTGCCCTGGGGCGTTGGGTCACTGAGTGATGACACACTGGCCATATGTTCCATGGAACTAAGAGTTTATGAATCTCAGAGTTATTTTTCATGTCCCATTGGAAGCCTCTGTGTACCTAAGGAAGCTGGATTTCCCATTTTCATCACCAGGTCACCCAGGTGAGTTTGGCAATGCATTCACATTCCTGAACACAGACATCCCAGGAAACCAGTGACTTTGGGAAGATCTTCCCCTTCCATGTCGAATTGTAGCAAATTTCAGAGGTGACACACGGTTGCCAAAGATCTTCCTTCAGGAAATACTCATGGGCAAACATTTCGCAGATTTCAAGGTTCCTGGCAATCTTGTTTCAGGGAATGTAGAACAGCCATGTGACTAATGTGATTATCAGCTCTGTCAGAAAGAAAAATTAGACACGAAAATCAAGATGAGCATCTTCCATGGACACCTCACTTCAAGATCTTACCATTATTCCAAGCAAAGCTTTAGCAGGTGAGCTGAAGTGTGAACAAAAGGGACACAAAGCAAGAAGACAACCTAAGTGCAGCAGGCTGGGCACTGTCAGTTTTGCCATCACTACCAACAGAGTCAGGATGGAGAAAGGGCCGTGTGGTCTTTTGTTCAGCAAAACAGTGCTTGTTTATCAATGGTGTAAATGTTGCTAGGCTACATGGATTAAATTAAAAACCTTTCCTTTCCCATTGTGTACACCACCTTCAGCAAAGAATGCTTTGTGAATATAGTAAAAGTTGGATTTTTTTCCCAGATCATTCAAATTTAATTATAGAAGGACCTGTAGAAGACAGATTATCAGCCAGCTACTCAATAAAGTAACTTTTAAGCATATTTTGTAATCAATACCCATTTTATTAACCAGCAGTGCCAGTGCCCAGAGGAAAGTAATAGAGAATAAAATAGAAAATATCAATATGGCTGATAGAAACTATTATATTTTCATTTCAAAATGTAGAATTGGAAAAAGGTATAAAACAAGGGGAAAGGAGGACCATTGCACAGGAGCTTTGTACAAGGAGAGATTAAACAAGACATCAGCTTGGAAAAGGACCCAATGGAGAAGGGCCCAGAAAGCTATAAATTATTTCAGGAAAGTTGAAGTGGAACAATTTTACGTTATTTTTCACAAGACAAGATTTAAGAGACACCAGTGAAACCATCATTCAGCCAATCTGAAACAAAGCAGTGCATAATTAAACAGTACCACTCACTGCCACTGGATACTGTAGAGGCCAAACACAAGAAGGTGTCCGGGAGGTGATTGTATTGAAACCAAGCCTGGAGCTCTGGGTGTGGATACAGCCTCCAGCCTAGTAAATCCCAGTGTGTGGCTGTGGATGACAGAGCTGGTGGTGGCACCCTGGGGAGGTAAACCTGGGTACTTTGTGCCCCTTCTTCTCCTCACTGGGGGCAGAGATTTGGGCTGAGAGACCCTTGGTCTGAGGCCCAATGGCCATTCGTAGAGACATAACCTGCTTTTATATTTTCCAGAGAGACTAATCTTAGCTGTAATAAATTCTAGTTGCTGAGGGATTGGGGCAGAGGACCCATGCTTCACAATCCAGTTCCCTTTGGGACATTTCCCTGCAGACCTTCTCCACCTGCCCCTGTACCCGGAATGGGAGCATGGAATGAAGCAAGGGGAGAGATCAGCACAGACCAGTCTTTGGGAAGGGAAGGGCTGGACTCCCAAACCAGCAGGCAGCTCCAGCATCCCTGGATGTGTTCACACTGGTGAGCAGGACAGCTACACGCTGTGTTTTGTGGTCATTAATGAGAGAAATGCCAGGAACAGTCTGTGCTTTTAGGGAAAATGATGTATAGGTGCTTCATCCCGTGAGCTGGACCCATGGGGAAGAAAATGGGGAAAACCCCAACAATTTATCGTAACAGAACTCATTAACATCACAAGGAATTGCTCATCTCGGGAGAGACAGACATTTCACACATGTCACTCTGCCTCATCCGTGATCCCCTGGCAGACACAGATTCACCCCAGCCCAGAGGAAACTGAACTTTACAGTCCCGATGGAGCTTTTCCTGCATGGAGGGGCGGTGGTGGTGGGCAGCAGATATGGATCTGGGAAAGCCCAGCTTCCTCCACCTGGAGACAACGGGGCTGTGGGGAAGGACAGAGATCGGGAAGGAACCCAGGGCTCTCTGCCCACACACATTCCCCGTCCCAGCAGTAGCAGGTGCCGGCCCATTTCCCGGGGTGCTGGCAGAGCAGGAGACCCTGCTCCAGCCTCCTGCCCACCGCAGCTTCAGGCTCCTTTCCAGGAGCAGCTCTGCGGCAGGAGCCAGGGTTCAAGCACACTGCAGAAGCTGGCCGTGCCCTGCAGCTGAGCACGCCTGCTCCGATGGGAAATGGGTGGTCGGGCTGGGAGAACAGAGAGTTCCCTCCACCGAGCGATCTCCTGCCATCGACTGCCAGATCCTGAACTTTGGCTCCGGCCAGGAGGCAGTAAACGAAGCAAATAATTGCCTGGCAGTGAGTGATAGGGAGTCAAGGGTGAGCGGGTAGGGAGGGGCGGGGGATGAGCGAGAGGATTATGTTTCAGAGGGAAGTATTTTTTTAGGATTTGTCTATGCAGGCAGTCAGGAGCTTTCCTGAATCACATGGACTTAGCCCCAGGAGGAGGAGGGCTCGCTGTAATTTTACACCTTTTCAGCATTTCAGCTGGTTCTGCTGAAATCTGCATAGGGATTAAATATGTGAAGGGACAGAGAATTAGTTTTCTTGCCTTTCCTCTGTTGGGACAAACATTCAAAGCTAAATAATAATTTAGAATTTTTTGATGGCATGAGTAGTGAGAGGAAGGAGCCAGCAGCTGACAGTAATAAATAACTATTAGGAAACAGTATTAGGAAATAGTACCAAGGAGAAATATTGCTGCAGGGATATGCTTTCAGCTTTGGGAAATCCATACCCAGGCAGCTCAACATTTACTTAGGTATCCAGAGCTTGTGTGCAACTTTTCTCAGACCCAGAGCAGCAGCAGTGCTGGGGGAGAAGCCCAAGCTTAGGTCCCCAGTGAAGAAGGGAAGTCAGCTCATTGCACGGACAAACATCTCAGGCTTCCACTCTCAGTGCCAAGAGTTAGCAACAGTGTCGTGTCCTTCCGCAAATCGACACTCAAACTGTCACCTGCAAAGGGAAGTGAAGTTTATATATGGCCTGTTGCTGCAACTTTGATACTGATCTTTATGGCCAGGCTTCTAGTATGTCTAGGGAGAACCTGTGCATCATAAACTGCTTAAACTGAACTGTCTGAGCTTAAACTGAAGGATCTGAATTCAGAGAAAGATGTTAGCAAAAATCCTGTCCCATGTCCACTTAACGTTTACATTTTTACCAGGTTTGAGAAACACTTGAAGAACTATTCTAACAGATTGAGGTAATGGAAAAAGTCCTCAGTTTTACACACAAATCTCCCTAAATTAGAAACAATTTTCCATTTCAAGCACCCAGCATCAGGCAGCCCATTCCTCCCCTTCACTGGGCAGCTTCCTCAGGGCAGGGTCTTCTGGGCAAAAAGACAAAGTGTGGTGTAAAATGGGGTCAGACAGAGCCACGTCTGGGGCCGCAGAGCCCGCAATGTTGTGAATGAGCACAGCCGCCCATGATCTGAGTACCCAAAAGGCATCCTGGAGAGCAGAGAGGAGGCAGGAATCCCAGCAATCCCTACACCCACCCTCCTGGGAAGCCCCCGGCTGCAAGGCAGGCGTCTCCCTGCCATCCTCTGGGTCAGGAGGAAAAGTCCCCAGGACACAGCTGTCAGGGCAGCCGGATCTATTTTCAATCAGGACAGTTGGGCAGTGCTGTCAAAGCCCTTCGGTGCTGAGCACACCCAATGACACCAGCACAGTGCCACAGGGTACGTGGGTCTGAGCCACTGACTCAGCAGGCATTTAAGTCCATGACCTGTACATGCCAGCAGTGTGGTCACACGTTGTGGTTGGAAGCAGGATGTCATGAGGAACATGGGCCATGAACGTGCCCTTGTGGCAAAGAAGGCCACCAGCCTGCTGGGCTGCTTTAGGAAGAGCATTGCCAGCGGGCCGGGGAGATGGTCCTTCCCTGCACTCACCACTGGTGTGCTGAGTCCAGTTCTGGGCTCCTGGCCTCCCCAGTACACGAAAGACATACTGGAGCAGCCCAGTGAACCACCACAGAGACGATGGAGGGACTGGAACATTTGCAATAGGAGACCAAGGGAGATGGAATTGTTCAGCCTGGAGGAGGCTCCATGAGGATCTTACCAAGGTGTATAGATACCTGATGAGAGGGAGTTTAGGAGACAGAGGCCAGGCTCTCCTCAGCAGGATCCAGTGGTGCTGAAATACATGAAATTCCACTTAGACATAAGAGAGAACTGATTTTCTGTGAAGGTGATTGCATATCAGAGCAGATTGGCCCAAGAGGCTGAGGAGTTTCTGTCCTTGGAGATACTGAAAACCCAGCTGGACACAGTCCTGAACAACCTGCTCTAGTGGGCCCTGCTTTGAGCAGGAGGGCTGGACTGGACCATGTCCAAAGATGCCTTCCAGCCTCAATTCCTCTGTCATCCTGTGAACTGAACAGCCACTCTTTATGCCTTCCATAGCACACTCTACCAGCTCCCATCAACCAGCAATTTAGGAACATCTTGTGCCAAGGCTTTGCAGCCCCATCAGTTTTCAATAATTCTTAAACTGTTCTTCCATAATTTTTTTTGCATTCAGTTGCAACGACCTATATAGCTTAATTGTGCACAAGATATAAAATGTACTTTTATTTTAAATGTTGCTTGATGTCCTCACTGGACACACTGTATGTCTTGTCCTGTGAGAAATATGAGTAAATGCACCCTCTTCACATTACTCACCATTTGTAAGATATACTTTGCAATGTCCTTTCCAAACTGGAGAGTCTGTACTGTGTGTGCCTCCAACAGGCAGCTGCCTTTAATTAGCCAAATGTGATCAAGACTGACTTGCCAGGGGTACTCCAAGGACCTTTCTGTCACTATAGCAATGCTGAGTGTGCACAAAAGCCACTTGCACGCAATGGGCAGAGAAATGCAAGCACAGAAGATTTACCTATCATTAATTACTTCTGGAATACTTCCAGGCACCTTGAATCACTGCTGAAAAAATCACTTGCATCGAAACAGAATGGGACAGGGATTTGTACAGCACAAAAGTATTGTGGAACTCTACACTGATTTTGATATCGCAAAACCAGATGCTACGAGCACAAGCAGCATAAAGGCAAATATCATTGGTATCCTTTGCTGGTACCTAGTGTACCAGCTCTTACTGTGTGCCCCTAAATTGCAAATAGACTGCCTGAATTCCCACAACAATCTGGAAAATTAGAAAATAACATTTGAATGCAAATCTGGGCTTCTGAAAGCAAAAGAGTCCTCAGAGTGCAGGAAACTCTTTTTCTGAGGATGCACACAGAAATGGCAGGGGCAAAGAAATGGCAAATTTTGTATGGCAGAATCTTTAAAGACATAAGCAGATCTTTAAACATTTCCAGAGCGTCTTGGCTTCAGTTTTTGAACAAGCAAGCAAATATGTCTGATGAGCCTTTACAAATCTCTTCTTCTCCTGCCGCAGCTGATGGAAAGCAGCCCCTCATCCCTGATTGTCTTTTGCCATATTTTACTTAGCTAAAAGCACCAAATGAAATGAAGTATGTTAAACAACAGAATGTTATCATGCAAAACACAAAGCTCTGCAAAACCTTGGAGTGGGGAAGAGTATAATTAGGATAAGTCAAATTGGGAAAAGGAACAGAAATATTTAAAAAAAATATTTAAAAGGATAGTTTGGAAGAAGGAAGAGAGTTTATAGTTACTAGCAACAACTGAAGTATTAGAGAGTGTGGGGAATATTTCAGTCTTCCAGAGCAAATACTTCTTAAGGCCACGACCAGCGGGGCTCAGCTGGTGACAGCAGAGCCAACATAAGTGCTGGGCATCAAGCAAGAGGCAGCAGCTGAATCCAGGGCATTACTAGTCCCTGATTTGGTCTTCAAGAATTATGTTTTTCATGGTCTGCAGCACTCCAGACTGATAGGACTGACATGGGAGGGAGCACTAACCACAGTGCACAGCTCATCACCAGGCCTGGGGAATCACAGTCTTCCTCAGCAGGGCAGATGGGGAGGAGCGGCTCCTGCCTTCCAGCTGCCTCTCTGTCATGAAAGAGAGGTGAAATCTTTGCAGCCCAACTTGGAAAGCTGCAAGTGGCTCAAGTGACCCAGTGGCCTGCCAGCAGCAGCTGCTGGGCTGGCTTCCTAACCTCTGACCTTGCCTTTGGACCTTCTGGACTGTCCATCGCCCTGGCAGACCTGACAGCCACCTGCTGGGCACCTGCCTCAGGAACCAGCCTAGAGCAGCATTTACAACCAGGATTCTGCTTCAGCTCTTCCCAGGTCCCAGGGAGGTTAGGAGCTCAGCAGGATGCCTTTGACAGAGCAGCTGGAATGGGCAGCTTTAAGCATCAGTGTCTGGAATTGCAAGAAAGAAGAGGCACATCTGTCCTCCCAAGAGGTGTCAGTGTTTCTGAAACATGTAAGTAAAATAGAAGGAAAAAAATCCAGCTTTATAACATCTCTTAAAGCTGAAAGTTGCTTCTAGGTATCATAGTCTCAGCATCAATAAGGGGCCAAAGCAGCCCCTGGAGCAGTACAGGGTAGTGTTTGATGGTGAGGCAGCACAGAGCCACTAAAGCAGACCTGAACTGCTTGAAACTAGCTTGGATTTAGTTTCAGTAAACCCAAAATTGTGATTAAAACCATTTAAGAGGTTCATGCCCTTTAATCACCACTTCTCCAAACCAGTATTAGCTCAGTGTTCACGCTTTAAGTATTTCATTCATCCATAGCAGCAATGACTGAGGAGGAGCAGCAGCCACTCCTGAACTCCTGAGCAATGAGGAATGGGGAAGGGCTGCGGTGGGTATGGCAGCAGCAAGAATGTGGAGACAGCTCCAAGTTGCTGAGATTTTGCCACATCAGGGGTCATCCCATTGATTTCACACCCCCCACCCACCCTGTAAAACACAAGATGTGGACTCTGGGGAAGGTAGGTTCCATTCTGGTCCTTCCAAAGAATTGGGAAGGAAAGCGGGATTCAAGGTTTCTCAGCAGAACTGGGTGGGAAATTTTCAGGGCTGACCTTGCCTGTGGAAAGCCAAGGTGAAAGCTGTGTCCTCATGGTACAGGCCAACAGATCATGCCAAGTACTTTCCACAAAGTATGTGTTATTTGGTCCAAGCTGTGTTATTTAGTGTGTTGCTTTATAGTAAAAAACTTGCACCCCGACACAGAACCTACCGGGACTCGTATGACAAACATACCAAGTGCAGAACATTTCTTTCCAGGGCTCATGTCAGAAATCCAAAAGCTAAAAGGCAAGGGGTTAACAATCAAAGTCAGCACGACACAGCTTATTTCCCAACTACATCTCAGAATTAAGAATTGGAAAACTTTTGCAAAACTAAGCATGTATGACCATGCAAAAAGTAAATGGACCTGAGCACACATTCTAGCCAAGCAGCAGTTAGCTTTATTGAGTTCCAATAACACTGCATCACAAACAAAAGAAATTAAAAGTTGTTTTTTGCTTCTCAGTATTAGTCATTTCTCAAATGAAAATGGGATTATGTTTAATAATATTAAGAGAAAAACAAGGAAAAGGAGAAAGAATAAAGTTAGACAAGACTGCAGAGCCAGCAACCCCTTCAATGTGTCCCCCTCGTGTCAGAGATATTCAGCTCTTGGATAATCTTGCTGTTAAATTTTCTCAGATCAATGTAAAGAATTGAATCCTAGGATACAGTACTTGATTAATCAAATATATCATGGGTCACTATGAACCGTGCTGTACTTTTGAAATCACATTTGGGCTATCTTCAGTGGGACAGAGAGGGATTTCAGAGAAAAGTTCAGGTTAATCAGATACATTTCCCCACTGGCTGCCTCAGTAAAGCTCACTACAAATGTTAAGCATGATGCATTTCGTGTCCTGGTTCCACAGAAAAGATCAGTGTGCAAGACCTGATACGGTACCTGCAACACCCCCCAACCCACTGAAACGTAGCTCTGGCCTCCCCTGCTGAGTTCTGTGTTTGCTGCTGTACATTCACAGAAGATTAAAACCACTGTCAACAGAGAAACAGCCACAACTGAAAAACTACAGGAGATGAGAACACTGGCTGACATTGCTTGCAGACACCAGCATGTACAGCTGCTGACATATGCCCTGAGAGTTAAATACCTGCTGCCAAACAATTATTTTAAGGAAGTTTTTCAGTGTTAATAGCTACATTTTTCTTCAGTAAATAAAGAATTACATTTTAAGATGTGTCCCATTCTTCCATGAGGAAGTACTTAAGGTAGCGTGTGTGACAGTGACAGCTGCCTGTTGTCAGTGTTACTGCCGTGGTACATTGGCTCAGAAGATGGTCTATCACCTCTAACTCCTCAACAACTCTGTTTCAGAGCTACAGCTTGCATTTCTGAATGGCACATAGCACCACCTAAAGAATGTGAGGAAGGCAAAAAGGTATTAGGCAAACAATCATTCCTGAAATGTTAAGTGATCATTCATTTATTCCTTTGAGGCAGACTTGCACTCTCTTCCTTCTCCTCTCTCATTTCCAGACTTTCTAGTCTTCATAGACTGGGTGCAATCCAGTTAAGAAACTTCATAGCAACTTCAAAACCAAGGAAACACGCCTGGAAAAGAGAACAGAACAAATAAGGATTCTAAAAATCTATTCCAAATAAGGTTTTTGAAATGCAGCACTATGAACACCTGATGTGGCTGATACAGAAGGAGGAAGGATACAAAAAAAATCTCGGACCAGAGGCAAGAATTCTACTATATCCCTCTACACAAAGGCAGAACTTTGACTCCAGTAGGCTCATTATTTACTGAAGGGGAAGCCAGTCCAAACTTACTGCATTTTCTACAGATGGATGTAAAATCAGTAGAGAAAAACTGTCAGAGAAAGTCAACAAAGGGTTTAATGTAAAGCTTTAGAGAAAGGTTTACTTGTTTTTCCTCCTAGACTAAAGTATATTTTTAGAACCTGGACACCAACAGCCAAAAGTGCCTGCAGTGACAAGAACCTCACTGAAATGATACAAGAGTAAACAGCCAGTCATGTCCTTTACAGGAGGCAAACATTCACTGTGAGTGGCCGAGTCCCCCAAACCCACCCAGAATGACAATGTACTCACCGCATTAGCAGGAAATGCCCTGATCATCACAGCTGTGAAGCCCTTATACAGAGATGCAACTCCTTCCTCCCTGATAAGCTCCCTCAGCACATCTCTAAAGCCATTTGGGTATTTTCCTGCAGGAGCTGAAAGGGACGCACAACACATTAGCCAAGACGTGTGGCAGTCACAAGGGCTGAAGGATGTACCCTATGTAACAGCCCAGGATTTTCAACAGGTTCATACTGTTCATACTGTTACAGCAAACAAACAAACAAGACAGCTCAGTAAAGGCTCAGTAAACAGGAGACAGGTGCTTACCATCACCAAAGAATTTACATCATCAAGTCATTGGGGGAGGAAAGAAAGGAGAACAACTTTTCTCAGGGTTGGAAGTCTGAGCTGTTACTTGCACTGCTGATCACAGCTCTTCCAAGAGCTGCAGTTAGATGATAGGAATGTCAGATATAAAAACTGATGAAGCTGGTTGATAAGAAACAGAAAATTATCCTATTACATGTCCCAGCTTAGGACGGCAACAGACTTCAAGTGAAAAGTACAGGCTGTTTTAATGTTGATATTACACAGATTTGCTGAGGTGGTTTTAAAAAATTACTCTGCTCAAAGAACAATTTCTTCCTTCTCCTGACACCGCTCGAGGAAGTACTGCCTCTGCCAGCCCTCTGAACAGGTACTCCACAAACCAACCCAGTTAAACAGAACCACCACGAACCCACATCATCCACACGGCAGCACTGGGGACTGGCTCAGTGGAACAAGGATCAGCGCTGGGATGTGTTTCACTCTCAGCTCTTGGTGCAGTACCAGATCAGCACAGCAGCCATTGCTCACAGAAGTAGTTGTTAAGTTTCCTGCACTAGATTATCATGACTTGTGACTCAGTAGAAATGGTCACTGTCCAGGGGAGAGCTGAGCCCACAGAGACTATGAGGAGCCTTAACAAAACTATTCATTGACGGGACTCTCAGAGAAACCAACGAAAAATCTGTCAAATCTTGCTGAAGTGCAAGGCCTGGGGCCGTCCTCACTATAATTAGGACACAGACATTAAGGAGCAGAGCTGCCAGTCGAAAAACAATGTTCCCTACAAGCCACACCCTGTTACTACAAGCTGCAGATAGCACAGGCTACAATTTATACAACTATATCTGATGTGAAATAACAAAACCTCCCAGAGAATTACATTTGTAACAAAATCTCCGTTCTGTTATTAAGAGTTCTATGCTTAGGTTTCAAATCAGGTACCTCAAACCAGGATCATTATATATCAAGGAGGCAGAAATAGAGAAGTGCAGCCTGATTTGCCAAAAATTTGTGAGGAAACCAAGTAAAAAGCTGGGAATACACTTGGGTTTTTCATGAACTTGTCTCAAGCAGCGCTTGGACATGCTACTTCCTAGACGGAATCTTCCATCACTGCCCTCCATTCCCTGGAGCACCACACTGAGTGTGGCCATGACATGCTGGCATGGAACTTACCAGTCTGGAAACGGGATTTCAGCACGTCTGGTGGAATGGCAACTGCCCAGTTGAAGATGCCAGCCAGGCCCCCAGCAAAGAGGATCCTCGGCACACTGAGGTCACTCACACTGTGGCAGGATCGGGGTGGGGTGGGAGGGAAAAGTGAAAAAAAAAATTAAAAAATGGTGAAGGGAAAAAAGTCAAACTCATGTGTTTTGACTAAGATGACAATCAAAAAGACAGCCTGGCTGACAGCCAGAAGGCAGCACAATGCTGCAGACAGAGTGCAGTATCTGAGCAACATTTCTAACAATTAGAGCCCCGTGGGCAAAATGGACCAACTCCACCCTAAAGGTTCAAATCTTTTCATTCAGCACACACACAGATGCTCTGGGGAAAAAAAAAACCAAAACTAACCAACTAACCAAACAAAAAAACCCCCAAAATCCAAGAAAGCCCCCCAGCATTTTGTACATATACAGGGTTGAAAGTAAGAAGATATACTTTAAGTATTCCTTACTTGGCCAATAAGATCCAAACTAGAATCTGAGAGAACTCAGAATATTATTTTAATTGTCAGTTAACCCCAGACCAAAGCAGCTCCACTCAGAAGGCAAGCAACTTTTTTTTTTTTTTTTAATTTGTTTTGATGATACTGCTCTAAGTGTCTTCGTAACTGGGGAGATTAATCAGCAGAGTCTGGGAAGTCCAGAAAGTGATGACTGTGAGATTTCACTGACCTCTTTCCCTCAGGGGTCAGAATGTTCTTCAGCCACTCGTACGTCATGAAGTACATTCCACTGGCCGGGACGTCTGGTGGGTAAACAACAAAGGCTGTGAGGAGTGGGAAACCAAACGAAGCCCGGAGGCACAGCAGCCCCATGCCAGCCCAGCAACACCACTAAGTACATCCAGATTCCTTTTCTGAACCTCTTCTACAAACAAAATAAAATCTTCTGCTGCCCTAGAGAGAGGAGTCTGAACTTTCCCAGGGAGAGCAGGTGCTCAAGGCAAGAACTGGGAAAACATCTTTTATGTCAGCAGCCTTTCAAGCCAGGCTGTAACCTGTCTGCTGGTCATTAGACTAATGATGAAACAGCTCTAAACTGTCCTAATTACTGCACAGTATATCAGAGTTTTCAAGAGTTTTGCACACTATTAGTTCTAATGGTTCTATTTTAGGATTGTTTTTTTGCAGTTGATGGGTCTTGTTTTGGGTTTTTTAAAGTTACTCCCACAGCCCATTCTTAGCTCATGCCTAAACTGGAGAACCAGCCTTCGGCTAGGGACACTGCCAGAGTTACCCTGCAGGCTGCTACACTTCTGTGAGAAGCAGAGGATAGAACAAATTCCTAAACTAAGACAACAAAATACAGAAATTTCAGCTTTTCAAAGGAGGAATTACTGAAACACATAAAGGATTCAGGGTCTGGCACAATTACTTTGTTGTTGTATTTGAGAGAGGGGTCATGACATCCTAGTTCAAAATAACCCAGACTTAAGTGGGCAGAAAGCATAACTGCTGCCATCACATCTTTTAAAGCAGCCAGCATTACATAGCAACAGACAGGCACAATCCTTCTCTCAAGGAGAAAAAAAAAAAAGAAGAAAATTTAAAAAAAAGCCCACTTTTGTGTTTTTCTCTTCTCTTTGTTCTCTCTGCTCCTCTCCTGAAGTCTCTCATTCCTCTTGCCTTCTCAGATCTTAATTACTTCCTACATCCCTCTGATCCTTGTCATCTAATCTCTTCCTCACTCACTGAGAATCTCATGTTTATTTCTCAGGCCCTTTGAGGCATTGGAGTAGCTCTGCAGACTGCAAAAAAAAAAAAAAAAAACAAACAGAAAAAAGGGGTGACATGGCCCTTCCAGCTGGCTAAAGGGATGGTGAGATCTACCATACCATGTCAGACTTCTTATCCTACAGTCCCCCCCGAGAAGGGATCTGAACAGTTCTGTCTGTTACCTCTCATGAGGGTGAGCACCGTCCCCTTGTACACCCCACGAATCCCGGCCTCGCGGTACAGCTGCTTGGCACAGTCCAGAGAGCCACTGTACTTAGTTTCACCTGTAGCTGCCTGGATCTGAAGGATTAAAGTGATAGTTTCTGACTAGTGAAGGTTTCTGGCTGATGCACAATCATCCACCTAGAGTTAGAAAGCCGTATGCATGTTTCCAGCAAGGAAGGAGCACATACTCATTCCACAGGCACTCCTGCCTATGAAACCTCTGCCTCGCTTCCTCAAGCAGCTCTTTCACATTCAAGCTGAGGATATGTTTACTGTTCCATGCAGAGAATAGATTCTCCCTTATTTTTCTGCAATGTAAACTTGAAACAGTTAGGTAATTCTACACTGACAAAAAGTACTCTTCAAATAGTTCAGGGAAATTCAAACAATTTGCATGTGTGTAAAAGCTTCCATGATAATATCCTGTCTGTCAGAACTAACATGTGATCACTCATCACCATATTAACAGAGTTCAGCATATTTTGAAATAAGCAAAGCTTCCCACATCTGCTAAAGATGGCATTTCACTTGTTTGGGTTTACATTTTCCAACAATACTTTAAAAACCCTGGAGGAGGTGCGGAGCTAACAGCCACCCAAATGTCAGAACACTGTCTTGAAATGCATTCCTTAGCTATGTATTGGGAACCGTAAAAGTAACAGAAAATCTTTACACCAGAAAGAGTCTTATGATCTGGAAGGTTAGCACTTTTTTTAGAAGAAGTTTCATTCAGAAAAACTGGACTTTTCCATACTTTGCAGTGGACTGAGGCATCCACTGATGCCTCATAAAATGCCCCATAGCATAAGGCTATGTAAAATGAATAGAGTGCTCTGTAAAATGAATAGAGCAATGAATGTGTACTTAAACTGTCACAGTGAGTTTGTTTAATGCTTCTTCATGACACAGATGCATTAAATGACAGTTGTCTCAGTCCTGCCAAAAAACAGAACAGAGTAAATGCACTAACCGAAGAAATTCCTTGTATGGAAAGACAAGACCCCAAAAATTAAATTCCCATTACCACCATCCAATGCCTTACCTGTAAAAGGCACTTGATTCTCTCTCCTGGAGCCATGATTACTGTAGTGAACACTCCTGACAACATGCCAGCAGCAAACAGCTGAGGATATCTGCCTCAAGGAAACAGAAAAGACCCTAACACAACACAGTACACAGGAAACAAAGGGCAGAAAAAGCCCTGCATCATCAGATTATGCTATTCCACATGAACTTGGCAGTGGAACTTGAAACACATCCTCTGCTTTTGATCAGTGCAGAAGTGCCTCATCAATGCATAATTAGACCTAAACGTTTAAGATCTCTAGGATTCAAAGCTCTGGTTCCCACAGCAACCACAACTCAGCTCTTCCACTGTTATGTGCATTTTTTGCTACAGCATTCCCCATTCATTTTTATTCCCAACAGTCTCTTCCTTCTCCAGTCTCCCATATTCTTCTCAGTGACCCCAGATTCCACACATATTCCTGTTTGTGCTGCCAGGAGCCTCCCTTCTGTAAGCTCTCACTCTCTCACTCCTTCAGCCTCTGCCATCGTCGAGTTTGTCCTACCAACCTGCCATTATCCCACACATTCTGCACCTGCTTTCATGTGACAAAGTATCCATGCTAGAAATCCCTTAAACAGGCTGAGTTTCTCCATCACAAACATATTTTTACATCCAAACTCCTGCTCCCTCCCCTCGTAAGATGACCTAACATCTCATTGTAACTGAATTCCACACCTCTCGCTTCTCTCCACTTGCCCAAGAGATGGCATTCTATTCCAGTTCTTACTCATTTAAGAGTAAAGACTCCTAAATTCTCATTAGATCTTCCAGACCATTCAGATCTCCCTCACCACTCCATGTGCACCTCCCGCTACAAATGAGCTTTGAGTTTTCTATCTCACCTTGGGATTATTCAGCCCCAGAAAAGATGGGAACCTGATGAGCCTGTCCTCTCCTTCTTCCTTCCACAACTTCCTTTTAAAATCAGCATGGGCGAACGATGACCATCTTGCCTGACCCAGAACCACAGCACTAAGGGTCTGCACCCACAGTGCAGCACAGCTGGGCACAGTGACAGTTCACCCTCTATTTATTCATTCTCTCCCACTGCTCTACTTCAGAGGAATTCTACATAAAGACCCAAAAAACTATGCTGCCCTTCCCCAGCTTGCTCCTTAAAACTTCCCTTTGGTATTGTGTGTATAAAACATAAGGCACTGAGGTGATCAGGCTGCTGGAAATCAGCCCACGGCCCATTTGTTTCCTTGTGTTGTCCACTCCTGACTATTTCCCTGGCCTTACCCTTCAGCCTTTCCTGCACAAGGACATCACTGTGGTAAAACAGAGGGTAAGTGAGCAGTGCCCCAGCATCTCAGCACTGCTTCCCTCCAGCCATCCAGAGCAGAGGGAGCTTGCTCTGTGTTGGCTTGAGCCAGGTGTGCTCACACCCCCTGGGCAGCTCCTGCACAGGCAAAGCTCCAACAGAAACCAAACCACCCCTGCCCACCCCACCACGCCTGGCTCCACACAATGGACTCCTGCTTTCTGACAGAGCTCCTACCTAGCACACAAATAATGGAATAAAATGTTGCTAAGCTACAGCCCAGTTCCTGTAGAGCCGTAAATCACAGCTTGGCAAAGACATTATGGGAGTATGTCATGGGTGAGGGGGTTTTCTTCATGCCCAAGCTGGCTTGTAGAAAGCCACATGAAGTTTTCTCAGCTTCCCATTGCTTTTCCAGAAGGTTAGACATGCCTGGGAGGAGGGCTGCTCATAAACACCTCTTTTCAGAAATAATGGTAAAATACTTCTATGGCTGTTCTTATATCCTAATGGAGGGACAGCAAGAGCCACAACTAATAGGGAAAAGAGATTCAGGGCTGTGAATGTTGTCAAGATTGCTTGACCATGAAGTTATTTCTCCCATAGTTTCTGTTAATAGCAAGACTGTTGGCAGGCAATAATTATATAACTCTCACTTTACTCATCTAAAACAGAATTATTCCTTAATGGCTCCTTCTTGCGTAGAAAGGGAATTGCATCGCACCTGCCCACACACTGTCTGTTTTTAGCCTGTGTTATCAATCCCACGCTTCCAGAAGCATTAAAACACGAGTTTTTTATTTTCTAGAACGATATTTATAACCTAGGAGAGGAGACAAATTTACACCACAACTCAACATGCGACAATACAGCCACAGCCTCAGGATGCCTTTCCCAAGTGCCTGATTAACTCAGGAACTCACGTCAAAACGTCATCGGGTTTTCTCTGTTGGAGTCTTTTTCCCAAGCCAAATCCAAAGAAGCACACAGCAAACATGGGTGTCACTCCGACAATAGGAGCTGCCATTCCTCTATATAAGCCTCGGATTCCCTGCAAGAAACATTATCACAAGAATTACTTGGTTTTGCATAAACTTTGCACACAGTTCAACTTGTTGAGAAGCAGAAGGCGACAATCCAGGATAGGATCAGTCAAACTGATCAGAGGGATAATGGTGCCTCTTGTTTATTTGCAGTTATACATGTTTACTGAGGCTCAGGGCCTGCTGCAGAGGGAAATTATCCTTCCTGGGAAACACTAGCACCACTGATGCCCTTCTATGGCAACACCCATCACCCTGTACATACATCTCAAGTATGAGGAAGTGAAGTTAAAAGCCACATGAATAAAAGTTCTAATAGATTATGTCAAGAGAGAACACTTTGTCTCTCAGCTACATACAAAAATACACCTGTGTTTTATCGATAAGTTGTCAAATCCCGATAGTGAACCTGAAAATGTTGAATTGAATTCACTCTCTAACTGAAGGGAGAGCCAGGGAGAGCAGCCTGAATTCCTTCACTCCCCACATGAATTCAGTTTGGAATGCGTTCAAGAGCAAATTATTTTTTCCTTCCTACCCTAAGTCAAAAGTTTTTCACCACACATTGTATTTCTGATGTTTAAACATTCCTCATGTTCCCCTTCACAGACTACACACATGAAAAAATCCTAATGCAGACACCAGCAGTTGCATTTATTTCATTTCTCTTGCCTTTGAATCGAACTTTTTCTAATAAAAAGTAGAGTTATCTTCCTAGATACTTCCTCTACTTGCCTTAATTTTGGCAACATGCCCAAATTAAATATTTGCTAGTCTGTGCAACCCTTTCTTCCCACTCCCCCAATAAACCAGTGCTGAGTTTGTAGAGGCACAACTGGCTCTGCAATGAAATTGCACCTGGCTGACAGAGACCAGCCACTGCTGCTCAACCTCCCCATGAGCAATGGGAAGGAAAAGACCGTGGCAGAGAGTTTTAATAGTTTTCATTATAGAAATGGATGAGTATTGAGTAGGAGTGGAGAAGCAGCACTGCTTTTGAACTTCCCATCACAAGGCTATTATTATGGCTCAGCTCTGACGTCTGTGCTGCAGCAGGGGTGTTAAAAACTGCCAGGGACTCAGAGCTGGCACAGCATTCCACTCCTTTGTGGGAGAGACCAGGGAAGCAAGATTTACTTTGGTTATATAACAACCTGTTAATACCACAATGAAAGTAGATTTCAGATATGAGGCAGATCTTTCATTTAACAGAGAGTTACCTAACGAGATCCAGCGGTTAGAAATTAGACTTCAGGCACAGCCATTGTTTCCAAATAGCTACCAATGGGTAAACAGCTGCAAGGAAAACTTACAAAACAGAAAACTGAGCTCTGTGTCACTTAAAAACTTTCAATCAAGGCTGTGTGCCCTTCTAAAAACAAAACAGACTAGTTCAATCACATAATATATATGATTTAGGAGTGAAAAGCACTGTCCACCTTCTGAAGAAGGCTGACAAAACTTCTTTACTTGATCCTCTGCTCTCAAAAAAAGAAAAAGAGAAAAAAAATCTATTAATTAATGATCCTCTGCCTTCTTATAGATGACATAACACTTTATAGAAGAAAGTAAAAGTACTAGTTGTATACACAAAAGTCATTAGCTATTTCAGGATTTTCAGAGATGACTCCAAATAACAAAGACAGCAAGATTCCACCAAAGACAATAAGGCCAAAAAACAACTGCCAACATTCACTCCAGCCTATACTCTCAGATACTAATATCATGCTCTTTTGAATCAAAAACATTTCTTAGCAAAACAAAGAGACATGTACCTGGGCCACATGGATGCTAAGCATTCCCCAAGTTTTGTAATCTGCTTAAAAAGTTTTAACTAGAGTCAATTCAACTGATAACCCAAGAATTGTATGGTCTCTGGGGGGAAAACACTCCCACACAACTCCATTCCTGAGACATACAGGAACAACTGATATTTTTGGCAGGTGTCACAGTACCTCTCCAACAAGAGTCTTTCTGAAGCAGTCAAAGGTCCCAGAATAGAGTGGGGGCTGGCCAGGCTGTGGCTTAGGCTGAGTTTGCAGTCTGACCTAGTGAGAGGGAGAGGAAAATGTTACTTTATTAAATATTACTGTCTAAACTTTGATTCAGAGAACACCTCTGACCATTACAGAGTATGTTTTGTGACTGGCCTTGAAGGTATCAACAGAGAGACTGACATCCTTTTAGCCCTTTACAGAAGAGAAGAGATTGAATTTTAATGTATTGAATAGTTAATGTATTGAACTAATTAATTGCTGGGGTGACATTAGGACGACAAACCCAGCTCCTTCTGAATCTCAGTTGTGCCCCCACAGGGTCACTCCTGGCCTCCCCCTGGCCCAGGGGTACTGGGCCCCGCCGCAGCACGGGGCCGGCGGAAGCATCCCCGCTCCCAACCCCTTCCAGTGGCGGGAACACGACGCTCTTTTCCCGATTTTTCACTATAAACCTAAGGGGACTGAGGGGATCCCGCGGCCTCCGCGCCGCCAGGGGGCGCCCTGCTGCGATAGGCGCGTCCAGCCTCGCCTCCCGCGGCGCGCACCGGAAGCTCAGCCCCGCGATGCCTGCTGGGAGCTGTAGTCCCGCCGCAGTCCCCGCGCCGCTCTCGCGCGGTGCCTGCCGGGAGCTGTAGTCCGCCTGAGGCCACCCCGCACAGCACCGAGCACCGTCCAGCCCCCGGCCCCGCACCGTCTCACCTTGATGGTGTCCAGCGGGTGGCCCACGAACACCAGGCAGACGCCCCCGAAGCCGCCGGCGAAGAAGTTCTTCAGGGGGCTGATGGGCTGCGGCTGCTCCGCCATGGCGGCGGTGGGCGAGGACACGGGACCGGGTGAGGAGCGCGGCCGGGACCGGGGCCGGGGCGCTGCGTCCCCGCCGAGCCAGTGCCGCCCCTCGGCGCCGCGACCTTTACCCCAGTGCGGGGCACGCCGGGAGGCAGGCCCGGGGCGGGCGGAACCGCGACGGTGCGAAGGGTCGCTCCCCGGCGTTATCCCCGAGCGCGGTCACCGGGCTCTGTCCCCGGGCGCTGCCACCGGCCGAGCCCGCGCCGGGGGCCGGCGCCGCTCCCGGGGGCGCGGGGCCGGTTCCCCCCGCCCGTCCGCAGTGGTTCGGCCGCTCCCCCCCGGCCCCGCGCAGTGGCCCGGCCCGGCCCCGCCCCGCCTGGCGGAGGTGACGCACCGGGCCGGCGGTTCCGGCGCGCAGGAGGAGCCCTGGGGCCGCTCCGCCGCCCGCCCGGTAAGTGCGGGGCCGTGCCGGGCCGGGGGTCCCGCTGGGGCCGGGGCCGGGGCCAGGGCCGAGGCCGAACCCGAACCCGGAGGGTGGGACACGCGGCCGCCGCTCTGTGCCCGGCGCTGAGCTCCGCGCTCCGCCCGGGAGGAGCCGCAGCCCCGGCGCTCTCGGGCTCCCCGGAACTGTGCGGGGGCTGTGCGGGGCTGTTCCCCCTCGGCTGCTCCCGCCAGGTTTTCCTGCGCTGCTCTCCCACGAGTCTGCAGCGCTCTGGCGGTGCGGGATAAGCGCGGGGTCTGGGCTCGCCCGCATTCCTAAAGAATGGAGCCGAGGTAATTTCTGTGGGCTGGGCACCGCTCTGCCCGAGCCCAGAGTGCCGTGGGATACAGAGGTGCGTGAAACAACTGGTTAAAAGCGGTGGTAGGTTAGAAAGGGCAGGGATGAAATGGATTAGATGAGTTGGGAAGGACAAGGCAGTCGTGATAGTGTGAACCGAGACTGGAAAAGCAGGAGGAGAGTGTGGATGTTCACGAGGGAGTGTAATATGGCTGCAAGGAGGTCCCTGCAGAGTCATCTGTTAGAAAAGGATGAGGAATGTTCTGGGTTCTCCATGAAGATGCAATTAGCATTGTTAGCCAGCATGGAGCTGGGGCTTGTGGATGGTTTCAGGGAAAAGGGAGGGTGTCAGCCCATTTAAAGGTTACAAGGATAAGTAGCTCAGGAGGCAGAATTGAGTTGCGCTTTCTTTGTTTCAGATAAAGAGGTGAAAGAAGAAAAAGCCATCTTAAATGGCTGTGAAATGTCAACAGAAAAAGAGGATGAGCATCCTCCAAAAGACTTTCTAGGGGAATCCCACAGGGATAGGCACAGACGGAAAGAAATCAGAAAAGAGAGATGTAGTGGGACAAGGTATGAGGTGGGATGACATAATGCCACTGGTGGTGGCATATTTGAAGGCTTATTGTTGCAAAAGACCTTGTTAAGAATTGTGTTGCAAAGCAGGAATCAGGGAGAGGGCATCTCTGTTGGAGGTGATGGGAGCAGAGAGTAGGGGTGGGTGTGTTCCGGAGCTTCTGCAAGAGGGGACTAAATTGTATCAGTGTTAGTGAAGATACAGAAGTATCTCAGACAAAGCTGGTAATGAAGGGCCTCATCCTCCCCTGGGTAGGAAAGCGATCTAAATATGGTTTAAAATTTTAGTGTCTGATCTTGGGGATTATAGTGATTATTTAATCTAAATACTCTTTGGTTTTTTGATCCTTTTACTTGAGCTTAACATCTTTATTGTCTCAAAAGTTCGTGCTATCAAGTATTAGCTGTGTCCTGTTTACTTTGTATTCAGAGTTTGTGATCTGAGCACTGGACTGAGTGTAGGTGAGGTGAGTTCTGTTCCTGGTTTTCCTAGTATCCTCCTTTGCTTTGTCCTCAGAGCCTTCCCTCTCCCTTCACGTGTGTCCATGTGATTTTCAGTTAAGCTGGAAGTGAGCTCTTCCCTGGAGTGCTGGGGCAGGAGGCACGGAAGTCACCCAGTCTGCAGGCTGTTTTCTGCTTGATAGATCCATTTCCCCATTTGCCTGTGCAAAGCGTTCCTCTGTTTGTTCACAGAGCTGTGCTGGTGGCACAGAGGGATGTCCCTCCTCCCCGGTGACTGGTGTGGAACTGGGAGGTACTGGGCAGGCCTTTTATTCCGCCTGGATATCTACAAACATCTCACTGCTCGGATGTGACTCGCCATGTGTTGGGATAGCAAATGGACCCAGTGTTTTGGTGGTTGTTTGTTTTTTTTTCTCCAGAGTATGAGATGATCTGAGTGAGTTTGGGAAGTTCCCTGACCTGTGAAATTTGGTCAGGCTTTGTGATACTCTGAGGTTGGCTGAACAAAGCTGTTGCACACTGGGCTGTTGATGGCATGTTCACAGTGGGTTTAGAGTCTCAAATAAGTTATTCCTTTTAGCAGGTGAAGATCCATCACTTCTTTTATGCAAGAGATCAGTGTCAATACAGATTAAGCCCTGAACTGATGCATTAACTCTGAGTGGGGTAGAGGGAGGGACAATATAGGTTTGCCTTGTGTCTGCCAAATCAGATTTCACATCTGTCTCCTTCCAATATGGAGAGACTGTGTGTCTGTTCCTCTGAAATGCTATGGAAAGCAGTGCTATAAATTATTTGTGTGCTCTGTGTGTTGTGGATAGCTAAGGAATCAAGAGGCAAATGAAAGGAATGAAGACCAGAATTCAGGGGATAATATAATTAGCTGCTAGCCTTCATCCTCTCTCACTGGAGGTTTGTATCTGCTGAAATCATTGCAGCCCCTCAAATTAATTGTACATCACTTCTCTTCCTGGTTATTCTCTGCTGCCTGGTCAGGTTACTGGAAACAGAAAACAAATTAGTTGAGGAAAAATAATGAAAATATATGGTTGAGATTTCCTGTGCTCTAAAGTCAGGATTCTCAAAGCTTTATTATGGTTTCCCCAGCAGCTACAAATTGCAGTACTGTGGGAATATATCTGAGTAGCAGAGCTAAGAACATAGTAATGCAAAATGGGAACATGTATAAGGAACCAAATACATGGTGCCTGTGGAAAATAGAGCTTTGATTTTATGTGTATTTTTATATGTGAGATTTGGTTGCAGCATTGTTTTAAGTATTCTGTATTTAATATAGTCTCTCTAAACTAAATAATTTGGTTAAATGGAAATTTATGACTAAATATGAGGTGACCAAAATTCAAGGTTGATTCGTGCTTTACTGCTGAACCTTTTCAAACTCAAATTCACATGGTTTAGTTACACAAGCAGATTTGTAGTTCAGATAAGTATCAGATATGTAAATTTTCCAATAGAGGGGAGAATCTATTAAAAAAGTTAGCTGTTCTGATTCTTCTTGAATAGCAGCTGTCAACACTTAAGCATAAATTTCTATGTTCAGAAGGTAATAAGTGTGTATTGAGAAGGTAATAAAATGAGAGAATTGATTTTATTTTCCCCTTCAGATGTAAGGCCCAAGTCACATGGCATCCAGTAGAACCTACTGAAAGGGGTGAAATAATTCCACCATTTCTTTTGAGATGGTATTGCAGACTGTTAAACACATACACTGTGTGTATGTGAGACATCTCTACTTCTCTTATTTTCTAAAGTCCCACCTAATGGCTGTGGTTCTGAAGCAATATGGACTTGCATAGGGCATCACAGGTTGCCTTTCTAGCTACTGTGGTCATAGCTGAGGGGTTGGTGTTTCTCCTGTTAATGAAATGGATAGGATGCTGTTCTGCAGCAGTTCAGGCTGTTGATAAAAAACTTTGTCATAAAATCAGTTGTATCTTTGAAAAGATCTGTAGTGAAGGTTATACAGTCAGTTTGCAAGTGTCAGAAGTCTCAGGGCCAGCACTGGGGACTAGGATTCAATTTAATAACCTGATCTCCAAGGATTTGGACCTTGCCTGTAAGACCAGCCTTGGCTTTGAAGGTGCAAAGCGTTGCAATGGATCCAAACCAGGGACGTGCACAGCAGAATCTTCTTTACCTGGGCCACTGGCTCAGCCCATTCATGGCTGTTTGATCACATGTATGATGTTGACGTGGCCTCTCTTACAATTTCTTAGGCACAGAAAAAAATTGTTTTTCCTCCCTTAGGAAACAGAGCTCAGATGAAATCAAAAGAACGATAAAGTTTGGAGGAAAAAAAAGAAGCTGCGGTCGCTTTCCTGGTCTGCAGTTTGGCAGGGCATTAAGATGTCCGTGGACATGAACAGCCAGGGCTCTGACAGCAATGAAGAGGATTATGACCCTAATTGCGAGGAGGAGGAAGAGGATGAGGATCCTGGGGATATTGAGGATTATTATGATGGGGTAGCTAACGACGTGGAGCAGCAGGGAGCAGATGCCTTTGATCCAGAGGAATATCAGTTCACCTGCTTGACTTACAAGGAGTCGGAGAGCACTCTGAATGAACACATGGCCAGCTTGGCTGCCACGTTAAAGGTGAGGAAAGGTTTCTGCATTAACACAGGTGTAAAACAAGTCTGCGATTGAACAGGCAAATGCTGAGAATACAGTTTGTTATAAAAGCTGTGGCAATATTACTGTTACGGGGGGTTGGAGGAGCATTGTTGAAGGTCCCTTGTTCAAAACTGACTCAAAGGTTTCCATTTGTTACATACTGGTTTTGGGGCCTGAAAAACCTTCCTTAATGAATATTGATTCTTTTTTTTTTTTTACAGAGCTGAGCTTCATGACCAAAATTCCTGAGTTATAACTCTGCATTAATACAATGCAAAGAGGATATATAGGAAAAGAAACAAACCAAATCATAGATGGTGCACCTGTGTTTGAGGAGATAACTGACAAATAGGAAGACATGCTAAAACTTTGTCATTCTAGCAAAAACACCTTTCTTGGTTGTTTCTGAGAGAATAATTGTAGACTTTCAAAGACAGATCAGCTGTCGTGCCAGGTATTAACCCTACTGTTGCAGTGACAGCAATTGAAGTACAATGAACTTGCCACCTCTTGTAGTGACTGATTCATCACAGAAGAGCGACCCTCTGAGTCAGCTCCGTGGTGTTATAAGACTTTTGTGAAATTTTCTTTCTCTTTTTGTAACTGGTTACTGTACTGCACAACAGCCATAAGAGGAGATTCCCTCTCTGCCCCGTGTACTTCAGTCCCAGAGCAGGTCAGAGGAAAGCAGAGTTTTAAAACTTCTAGATGTTGACACTGGGTTGGAATTGCTGCTGCATCTACTTTCTAACAAGTCTCCTGGTGCTAATTCTGGACCAACTCCTGAAAGCAGGACAGGTGACTGCAGTGTGTAAAAAACCCAAAAAACCCCGTGTTGGATAGGTTTTGATTCCAGTTAATTTTATCTGAATCAAACATAATATAAAAATGAGAGGAATCTCATGATCTTTATTTTCATATCAGTGTCCTGGAGAAACAGTACAACCATAAAACCTGAGGACTATGAACCCATAAACAATAGGGTCTACAAGGCACCCATAATTTGTCCATTTTGTGATCTGTGGTGCTTGTTCACAGAATGTAGCACCTCAGAAAATGAAGTTTTACTTTTTACTTGCTGTTAAACTTGTGTCTGTAATTACTTCAAAATGTGCAGTTTGATCTCTGAATGCCTGCAGTTCCCTACAGATTGTCAGAAAAGGGAGGCAACAGGAGAGTACAAATGAGAATAGTTGGTCAGCACTTCAGATCCAGTTACCAGTTGCTCTTGGTTCTTAGAGATTAAGAAAAGATTTAGAACAGCTTTTCTGCTCCTGACTCTTTGCCTTCACATGGAGCACTGGATGACCCCTGCCATATTGTTCTCTTGAATTAAATTACCAAAAGCAATACTTTTAGTCTTTAAAATCAGGCCTCCAAAGTTAAAATAAACTTTCCAAGAGTTCTGAAGATCTCATTGAGCAAATGTAGCTGCCCAGATAATACCAACCTGCTAGCTCAAATCTCACCCCAAATACGACCTTGGGAGAGAATATTTTAGATGCCTTTTATATAAAGAATATGCCTGCATATTTACTTTTAAAATGAAGTGCTACACATTTTGCTTTGAGCATGAGAAGATGGATTTAAATTTTGGGTAGAAACTTGAAAAGCTGTAATCTTGTAAACCACACACTAAGGCTTTAGCTCTTGACGTGCCACATTAACTCTGTTCTCTAGCAACAGTAGTGCAATAATTGCACTTTTCTTGGAAATCTGTTGTGTATCTGCAGCACGTACCTTTTGTTTCCTGGCATACTTTCTTACAATACTTCAGCAACCCTGTCTCTTCCTCCCCCTCTACCCCCAAGGAAACTTGTGATTTTGTTAGTTTTCTGAGTAAAAACAATTAGTGTTGAATTAGCAAGTACTGAGAAGAAGGAAATGGAATAGAGCATGTTGAACTATTTGTTATCATTATTTTCCATGAACTTAATGGATACAAGTAAAAAGGGGCAGACTTGTCTAAGAACTTTATTAACTTCCTTTTTCTCTTGATTTACTTGAGCTCCAAGAACTATGTTTTCTTTTTAAACTATCTTTCACAATGTCTTGGGTTTTCTTGTATAGTGATGATTTTTTTTTTTGGAGCCTCTAATTAATTTTGTTGATTTCACCTCCTTTACTTTTTTAATAGGCACCGAATGTGGAGGACATGATATCTGAGAGATTTGCTATCGCAAGAAATTGGCAGATTGATACGATTCCCTAAAGCAAAGAAAAAATAAATGCAGTAAATGGCTCAAAGCCATGTTTGAATGTTCTGCCACTGTGTTGCCATTAGGTGATTCGCTTTCTGAAGGCTAAATTGGAAGGGGGGATTGTATCGAGTGTGGTTTTTCTCTGTGATATATTGTCTACGCACTTTAAAGACCAGAAATAGGATTTCAGAGCTTTAAGTCTTCGTACTTGCAATCTGTGCTGTTCTTGGCTAATAACAGTCTAAATAAATAGTATTTTATTTGCTCTGCTCATTAACCCTCAATGTTTGGTTTTCAAACTGTTTTGTTCAGCTATTTCAGACTGATTGTTGAATTCCTGTTATTTAAAAGCATTGAGGTGAAGGGCAATCCTTCTTGGAAACGTTGGCTACCTGCTTTCATTCCCTGTGAGTCACAGCTGACCTTGTTCTCACTCCTGCTGAAGGCAGAGAACTGAACGAACCTTGCATTGGCTGGTTGACTTCAGGTCAGGTGTGAACACCCTGTGAATGTTTAAAAGTTTGCATGGAACACTGAAAGAGAAACTCTCTTCAACAAAATGCTTGTGCTTTATCTACCCCAACAAGAGACAAAATTCAGTTAAAATCTGAAGTCTGATAAAAGCACGAGACCCTGCATGTAGGTAGATGGATGTCCTTGTATCTTTTACTGTCATAGGAAACTTACCCTGAATTCTTCTGACTTGCTTTTTATCAGGTGGGGAATTCTGAATAGGAAAATTAGTGCAAGCAAGGTAGCAGTAGACTAAATGAGCTGCATGACAGGCCTACAACTACAGTAGTGGTTATCCCAGCACCATATAGAAGCTAGAGGGACTTTGTAAGTGTTACTCTGAAAGTTTCTCCTTGTTTTGGTCTTAATAAGTACTGCAAGTTCATTGGTTTTAAAGGAAAATAAGCGGAAATCTTTGCTCCTTGGTTAGTGCAGTTAATCTAAAGGTCTGTGGAGGGTTCAGTTAATACCCTGACTAAAATTAGGACAGGCTATCTGTGTTGAAACATGCCAGATGAAAATCTCAGACTAGTACCCAAAACTGTGGTTCTCTGACCAAAGGGCCTGTGAATTGAAGTAGATAATTTTTAATTCCTCAAAAGGTCACTTGACCACGGTCAACACTCGTGAAGGACAATGCTCTTGAAAGCAGAGTGGCCTGTGTTGCCTACAGACCAGCAAAGGGATTTACAACAGTCCGTTTTAAAAAATAAATAGAAGATACAGTATCTTTCAAAAGTAATGAATTAAAATTGTACAGTAATAAGTTTATTTTTAAGATAAGTCTTGTCATTGAGCGATTGTGGGTCCTGGAGTGGCATATCAGTAGATGCAAACAGTGGGATACTCAGCAGTGATACAAACAAAGTTGACCTTGTCACTGACAAGCAATTAAATGTGTGATGAGGTCATATTGTTTTTGTTTGTGAATGACACTTCCTGGCTCTGCTGAGGGTCCCCATACCAGTCTGCAGTGTCTGTGATGCTTCACATAAGTGGCAGTAGTTTGTCTGTTTCAGTGATGAGATGGATCTTTCTAGTGTTTACAATTTTTTTTAACGTGTGGTATAAACCACCAGATAAAAAAATTGCAATTAGAATTTATGAAAAAAATGTTACCTTAATTTTAGGTCAAGCTGATTGTCAGTCATGAGGAAGCTATGATATTTCTGCACATCTAGCAAGGAAAGATAGTTGTGTTGTTTTACAGACAATTGATACCGATGTAGCCTTTCCACTAAAACCAAAGGAATTGTAAGACTGAAGAACTTATAATTTTCACTTCACTGATGTGAGTAATCTGCTAATATTTACCAGACAGCAAAAAGCTTACTTCCCTTGCTTGTTGAAATAACAGTTTATGATGTGGGAATTTTAGCCCTGTCCCTTGAATAATAAATCTTGGTAGATGCGAAAAATATTTGATATCATGACATAATTCTGAATCTATTAATCCATGTTATCACTGCTGTTCTTACAGAGATAAACCAGCTTTCATATACTCTTGCTCACTGTACTGACATTACGTCTCTTAGTGCAACCAAATTCGTATTTGCTCGTAAAAACACAGCCCTCAGAGACTGCTCCACACACTCAAATTGCGCTGACACAGAACAGTTAGTTTGTAGAGCTGCCTGGTGAATGCTGGCAGTGCTCCTTTTCAAATACCATCTTCAGCAGATCCAGAGTCATGTGTGTGGGGACTGGCAGCCTGTGCGAGCGGCTCTTCCCGAAGGAGCCAGCGCTCGCCGAACGCACGTTCCGTGTGGTCACAAACCGTCTGTAAAGAGCCAGATGTGAGGACACAGATGTGCATGTGTGCCTCACTGTATCACTGTGCAAACCCTGACCCAGAGTGTGCTGTTGGGTGCTGCTTATCTGAACAAACCTGCAGTGCTGCATAGTCATCCTTTTGGATGCCATAATGACTTCATGAAACTTTACGTGACATTAAATGACAGTATTAAAGCCTGGCTGTGCCAAAGTACCTCAGGTACAGGAGAGGGGTTCAAACCCCTTTAAGTATTAAAATGCATGTACATAAGAACAGGGTTTCAGAAATTTATGTTCAAAGTTGAAGTCCATAAGAACCAACATTGGTAAGTATTAGTAAGCAGTAAATATTTCAGTAGCATGCATTATAAATGGTAGAACCTGATAGGCGATTTTGACTTCTCCACAGAACCCCTGTGGTGCTGCTTGGCAATGATAATACACTATTTTGAAGTACCCTTAAACCCTAGATTAGTCAGGACTTGCAGGTTTATA